GCCAGAGAGTTCCTTATCTGATTAAAAGCAAAATTTCTGGGGAATGATGCTACCATAAATCCCCTAACTTATGGCCTTGAAGAAGCTGGAAACACCACTCCTAACCATATAGATGAACACAAACTTTCTTATTTGTTCTCCTAAAAGTCAATGTTTCTATTTTTCCCTGTAAAAGCTGTTTCTCCCCCAGCATTTTCCCTACTTAGTTATGTAAGCCTTAAAGTTTAACCATTTGACTAGCCAGCTGCTGCTTTTGTTGGCTGTTTTATGCATAAGAAATTGATATTTTTCTCCTGTTAGTCTGTCTTTTGTCAGTTTAACTCATAGGCCCTTGAATAGTGAACATGACAGGGTAGAGGAAAAGTTTTCTTCTTCCCATACAATATGGAAAGTTTTCCAAGATATATAAACTAAGGTGAATAAGTATTCAATGCTAACATTTTCTTGCATCTGTATAAACAATCTTTGGGAACAACACAAGAAACTGAGAAGCCTCCAGAGAGGAAAACTGGGTGGTTAGGGTTTGAAAATGTGCATCCTTTACATCTTTTGAATTTTAAACCAAGGAATGCATTATTAATACTTTTTAAAAATAAACTTTTGGCCAGGCACAGTGGCTCACGCCTGTAATCTCAGCACTTTGGGAGGCCAAGGCGAGTGGATCACCTGAGGTCAGGAGTTCGAGACCAGCCTGGCCAACATGGTGAAACATGTCTCTACTAAAAATACAAAAATTAGCTGGGCATGGTGACAGCTACCTGTAATCCCAGCTACGCGGGATGCTGAAGCAGGAGAATTGCTTGAACCCGAGAGGCAGAGGTTGCAGTGAGCCAAGATTGCGCCATTGCACTCCAGCTTGACGACAAGAGTAAGACTTCATCTCAAAAAAAAAAAAAAAAAAAAAAGTTAAAAAAATAAATAAATAAACTTTCAATAAGGGGACAATAAAAATCATAATGAATATTCACGTTAGCCATCTTTCAATGAATTATGTAATTATCTAGACAATATTTCAAAGCATATGAAAAGAAAGGATAAAGTGTCCTTAAATGTTTAACAAAAAACTTATTAAAAGCCAAGAAAAAAGCTTACTAAATGTATTAGCACTAGAAGAATGTTTTTCTCCTTTTTGGGCACCAAAAACTTGAAAACAGCAATTATCTTTTGGGATATTGAAATGTATTAGCTTTGAAACATTTTCTGCAATGTTCTACAGGACCGGCAAGACAAATGTGATTTAGAAGCTGATAACCATCCTTAAAGATGAAGTTCATATTTCACTGTTTGTTTGTTTTTTTTTGAGACAGAGTCTTCCTCTGTCGCCCAGGCTGGAGTGGAGTGGTGCTATCTCGGCTCACTGCAACCTCTGCCTCCCAGGTTCAAGCGATTCTGTTGCCTCAGGCTTCTGAGTAGCTGGGACTACAGGTGCATGCCGCCGTGCCCAGCTAATTTTTTGTATTTTTAGTAGAGACAAGGTTTCACTGTGTTAGCCAGGACGGCCTCGATCTCCTGACCTCATGATCCACCTGCCTCGGCCTCCCAAGTTGTAGGATTACAGGCGGAGCCACCTCGTCCAGAATAATTAGCTTGCTTTTCTATAGAGCCTCCTGCTCTGGAGTCATGTAACCAGAGGTCACAAGACTTGTAACTTCGCCAACTACTCCTACAGATAACATTACTATTGTGAAACCTAATTAACTGGTGTTTGAGATATTTTTCAAATTTAGCATTTTGGCAGACCAACAGACACAACCTGGACCTGTGAACCCCACTCATCAGAAATGACTCAGGTTCAGGAAGATAGTTCTGACACACCTGTGATTCATCCTTGACCCAACCAATTAGCATTTCCCATTTCCTAGCCTCCTGCCCACCAACTGATCCTTTAAAAACCTAGCCTCTACATTCTTGGAGGTGGATTTGAGAAATATCTCCCATCCTCCTCGCTCGGCTGGCTCTGTGATTATTCATCTTTCCCTGCTGCAACATTTGTAGTTCTCAGTGCATTGGTTTTTTTGGAAGGCAGCAGGTAAGAACACAGTTGGGCAATTACAGCATGAGGCGAAAACTTTTATAAAGGGTTGGTGGAAGCAAGACCAAGAAAATATACTTACTTGATTGGTTAAAGTGGAAAGTCCATAGTTAGAGGTTTGTCTGTTTCTGTTAGTTAAGCTTAAGTTTGGCGGGTGGTCAGCTGTAATCCAGCACTTTGGAGCGAGGGTGATCACGAGTCAGGAGATCGAGACTATCTGGTAACCGGTGAACCATCTCTACTAAAATACAAAAACTAGCCGGGCGTGGTGGCGGGCGCCTGTAGTCTCAGCTACTTGGGAGGCTGAGGCGGGAGAATGGCGTGAACCCGGGAGGCGGAGCTTGCAGTGAGCCGAGATCATGCCACTGCACTCCAGCCTGGGAGACACAGCGAGACTCCGTCTCAAAAAAAAAAAAAAAAAAAAAAAAGCTTAAGTTTCATTTTACTGTTTACATTGAGTTGGGCTCCAGAGCTGGAGCTATCTCAACCTAATAGCCTCCAAATTAACATTTTTTAAACGAGGCAAATTCTTTATGTGTGAAATGGGAATAATAATACTATCTACCTTGCAGGGTTATTTTGAGAACTAAATGAGAGACTGTGAAAATTGGTAAACTGAATACAAAGTTGAAAAACATTTCCTGTTATATAGGAGGCAGTAAACTAGATGGTTAAGATTCATGTAAAATAAAAGGTCTTGATAATAATAAAATGTAGTCCAGTAGAAAAGACAGACATAAAAGAATATATTAGAATGCAGTAAATACTATATTGACAACAAATAAAACTGCATTGGTTCCCCAGGGGAACTAGAAGAAACCAGAAGATAAACTGGTGTTGAACTATGACAGATGGAGAAAGTGGAATTCCAAGTTAAAAAAAAAAATGCATGTACAAAGAGCATAGAGACATGGACAGCATACAGTATAATGTGTTCAGGGAATGGTGACAAATTCGAAATGGCTAGAATAAGAGAGAAAACAGAGGGAGATGAATCTAATAAAACAGATTAGGGAGATTGTGTGAAAGGCCCTATGTAGGCCGGGCGTGGTGGCTCACGCCTGTAATCCCAGCACTTTGGGAGGCCGAGGTGGGCGGATCACAAGATCAGGAGATCGAGACCATGGTGAAACCCCGTCTCTACTAAAAATAGAAAAAATTAGCTGGGCGCAGGGGCCTGCGCCTGTAGTCCCAGCTACTCGGGAGGCTGAGGCAGGAGAATGGCGTGAACCCGGGAGGCGGAGCTTGCAGTAAGCCGAGATTGCGCCACTGCACTCCAGCCTGGGCGACAGAGCGAGACTCCGTCTCAAAAAAAAAAAAAAGAAAGGCCCTATGTAATGCTGTACTGTAAGAATGGAAAGCCAGCCGGGCATGGTGGTTCACGCCTGTAATCCAGTACTTTGGAAGGCAGAGGCCGACAGATTACGAGGTCAAGAGATTGAGACTAACCTGGCCAACATGGTGAAACTTCATTTCTACTAAAAATACAAAATTTAGCTGGGCGTGGTGGCGCGCTCCTGTAGTCCCAGCTACTCGGGAGGCTGAGGCAGGAAAATCGCTTGAACCCAGGAGGCGGAGGTTGCAGTGAGCCGAGATCGCGCCACTGCACTCAGCCTGGCAACAGAGCAACACTCCGTCTCAAACAAACAAACAAACAAACAAAAAACAACAACAAAAAAAATGGAAAGCCATCAGAGGTCGTCAAGCAGATAAAAAACAATAAAGTGTGTATTTCACAAATATATTTTAATGTGTAGGATTGGCTGGAGAGAAGGGGTAGAAAGGCTAAAGAAAAGTTGAAATAATTTAAGTAAGACTAATTGGTAGAGATTTCTAACAGATAGCTAGAAATACAGATCTAGAGTTTGGAAAAGACAATATGGGAATACAGCTTTAGAAATAAGCAAAGTAGTAAATAATCCACCCAGGGAGGGGATATGGTAGCAAAGAAGTATCAAAAGGCAACATTTCAAGAATGATCTCCCAAACCAGGAGAAAAGTGATTCCAAACCTAGAGTGGGAGTTTTAGGAAGGGGAGAAATCAGAAAAGTGTGAATTGGGCTTAGCAATTTAGAAAGGTTTGTAGAAAAGTGTAGTTGGATGCGAGAGAATAGCGGATGGGAGGGAAACAAAGTAAAGAGACAGGTCATGTTGACCCTGGTACTCAGTAAGATCTGATAATGACCAGCAAGTAGCACCACGGGTGGGTGGGCGGGGGGCTTGTTAACAATACGTATCTCGGCTCTAACCCAGACCTACTGAATCAGAATCTACATTTTAACAAGTCGCCAGAAAAAAGTAGTTATACCTTTAAAAAATTGACTTGGACCACTGTATTTGTTTGTAAATTTGACAATAGAGGGTAGGACATTCGGATAACTTGAAACGGAGGAATAGTTCAGTGATTAATAGTTCCCAATTTGGCCTCAAGCTTTCTCGTTTTAATTGAAAAACACAGTTAACTTGCAAAAACCTCGAGATTATCAGGGAAAAGAGGTGAGGATGACCTAACAGTACACACCAAACAATCTCACTCAGCCATTCCGCCAAGCCCAGCGCGAAGAACTCAGGCTTAAAATATCCGGATTCGGCGCGCTGGATGTTCACGCCAACTGGCGCGGCATTATGGGAGTTGTAGTCCCGGCCCGCGTCCCGAATTACGACAAACGGTTGGGCCCGGAGTCGGAAGAGATCTGGGTTTGGGAAGGATCCCCGGGTCGGGCGTCCTGGTGGCAGGGAGGGGCTCTTTCTCTCTTCCTCGGCGGGGAGTCCCGAGCCCAGGAGTAAAGCGAGCTCAGCTCCACATCGCCGTCAGCTGCCGGGACGCACACACTCTGCGTCATGGAGGGCTGAGGCCGATGATGAATTCCGGTGTGCCTGTCAGGCTTGCTGTGTCACTCGGCCCGCTCGGCGCGCCCCTTCCCAGCCGCCCTTCCGTACCGGCTCTCGGGCTCTTCCGGTCTCCGGCCGCCACTTACCTACAGGCCCTTCTCCGGCCGCGGCCCGGCGCTTTCCGAGTCGCCCCTACGGACTGGACTTGCGCAGTGCCCGGGCACCGGGCGCCCAACAGACACTGGCCATGACGAGCGGCGCCACCAGGTACCGGCTGAGCTGCTCGCTCCGGGGCCACGAGCTGGACGTACGGGGCCTGGTGTGCTGCCCCTTTCCGCCGGGGGCCTTTGTGTCCGTGTCCCGAGACCGCACCACCCGCCTCTGGGCCCCAGACAGGTGAGCCCTGGGAGTTGCCCCCAGGTTGCCCCCGGCTGTGTTGCACGCTTCCCGGAGAGTGGAAAGAGAGTGACCCTTCCCTGTCAATCCTGCCGTCTCTCTCTCCCCCCAGTCTTCCCTCTGCTCTCCGCTCCCTTCCAATTCTCAGACTACTGAAACTCTGTGTAAGAAACCATCGAGATTTAAGTGGAAAGAGCACCGGTTTGGGGGACCAAAGACCAGCCTTGTTGTGCTAACTTGACCGCAGACCAGTCTCCTACCTTTTGGGCCTTCAGTTTTTGGACGATGATCTCCCAAGTTTCTTTTAGACTTGAAAATTTATTGATTCCAATTGCACCCTCTGAAGTGAGGTTGTTTGAAGACATCTGACATGTCTCTTTTTTTATTTTCGAAGAAGATGCTCTGTAGTCTTCTCTAAAATTTAATTTTTGAAGACTTTAGTTCTCAAAAATTGTATTGCTGAATCTTCTTCTCGTCCAGGTTAGAATTTTAGTCTGTGGTCTGTGCTGGTCTTGAGGGAGTGAAACCTCTTGGATGTTTTGTTTCTGTGCATGTGCTGTTTCTTGAGGAGAAGGAGCATTCATTACCTTCAAAGGATTTGTCAGAAAGGTTCACGAACCAAAAAAAAAAAAGGTTAGGAATCAGTCCTGATCGAGTTCACGGGCTCAGCCCTGATTTGGCTGGTTGTTGCAGGATATTTAAGAACTAGAAGACAGATTTCAGTTCACAGAAAGAAGAATTGAGGTTATTTGTTATTTAGTAGCTCTCCCACTGTTAGGAATTTCAGAATTTGAGTCACCATCCATAAATTCAGTTGATAACTATTTGAGTGCCTCCTATTTGTTTGGGATACTGGAGAGGAATAAAGGCAGACAAGTTGCCAGTTTTTCTGGAGCTTTCTTACAGTCTGATGGGGAAGATACGTTAGAAAACAAGCCAATAAATAATTAAAAACTGGCATATGAAGAAAACATACAGTTAATAATTAGGTGGAGAGATATTAAAGGAAGCCTCTCTGAGGAGTTGTTTGTTTAAAGCTGACATTTGAAGCATGAGATGGATGGAGCTGGTCGTGGAAGAGCAAATGGGGAGGGTTGAATTGGAAAAGCATTCCAGACAGCAGGAGGAGCAAACAGGAGGAATTTAGCTGTGAGCTGAGGGCAGGTCTTTGAGGCTGGCAAGAGCCAGGTTATGGAGTTTGCAAATGGAAGCCTTCAAATAGTTTCAAGCAGGGAGCAACATAATCTGATTTCCGTGTTGAGAAGTTTCTGCTAGCTGATGATAGAGAATAGATTGGGAAGGGATAAGTGTAGAAGTAGGTTTGTTTGGAGGCTTTTGAAGTAGTATAATCAACACAAGATGGTCCACTAGACTAGGTATAGTATAGAGCAAATTCCTGTATTAATTGAATGACATGATCTCTAAAGATCTCTTCTAACTCTAAAATTCTATAATATCCAAAACTACTTAGTAACACTAATATTTAACTTTTTGTTTGAGTTATTAGGTTTTTAACCTTTAAAATGGAATCCAGTGGAAGCATAAGCCCAGTAGAATATAACCATTGCAGTAAGGAGTATAGTCAAGGATGCCTGTTTTAATAGTGGAATCCTGTCATTAAACTTTTGGGACTACTAGTTTGACAAGAGTTTAATCACTGGAGTGGTTGTACTTACCAGGAACTTGAAGAACTTTGGGCTGAACTGATTCTCTATTTGAAAAGTGATTTTGTTTTTCATTGAACTATTGATTTCTTTTCTTTTCTTTTCTTTTTTTTTGAGGCAGAGTTTCGCTCTTGTTGCCCAGGCTGGAGTGCAGTGGCACGATTTTGGCTCACTGCAACCTCTGCCTCCGGGGTTCAAGCGATTCTCCTGCCTCAGCCTCCCAAGTAGCTGGGATTACAGGCATGTGCCACCACGCCCAGCTGATTTTGTATTTTTAGTAGAGCTGGGATTTCTCCATGTTGGTCAGGCTGATCTTGAACTCCCGACCTCAGATGATCTGCCCACCTTGGCCTCCCAGTGTTGGGATTACAGGTGTGACCCACCATGCCTGGCCAAACTCATGATTTTTCTGTTTTTGTTTTTCAAAATTCATTCCTGTATGTATTTATCTAACACCAATGAAGAACTTGCATTTTGCCAGTTACAGTGTTAGTGCGTAGTGAGGTAAGATTATCTAGTCTCTCATATCCAGCTGGTTACGTTAGCAAACTTGTCCATCCTGTGGCCCATGGGTGACTTTGACAGTGACCCAACACAAATTCATAAACTGTCTTAGAACATTATGAGGCTTTTTTTGTGATGTTTTTAAATGCTCATCAGCTATTGTAATTATTAGTGTGTTTTATGTGTGGCCAAAGACAATTTTTCTTGCAACATGGCCCAGGAAAGTCAAAAGATTGGATACCCCAGGGTTAGAGTGTTTTATAGTCATTAGGTGATTAAGTTCTTATTGATGCCAACTAAAGTGTCTCAACCGTACCTTTAGTGTTGTAGAAGTGTCCTCAAGTCTGACATATTGACAATTTTTATTTCATGATACGTGTCTTCTCTTTTGTGTTGCTGTAGCAGAGTACTACAGACTGGGTAAGTTATAAAGAAAAGAAATTTATTTTTCATAGTTCTGGATACTGGGAAGTCCAGTATCAAGGTATCGGCATCTTGAGAGGTCCTCTTTGCTGCTGCATCATCCCATGGTGGAAGGGCAAGAGAGCACACAGCAAGAGGCATGGGGGAACAAACTTGCTTTTATAACAAAGCCACTCTCTAAGCAATAATGACATTAATCCATTCATGGGGGCAGAACCCTCCCGATCGAATCACCTCTTAAAGGTCCTACTTCTCAACATGGTTGCATTAAAGATTAAGTTTCCAGCACATGAACTTTGGGGGACACATTCAGGCCATTAATAGAATATGTGTGTCATTTTGTTTTTTTTGAGACAGGGTCTCACTTTGTTGCCCAGGGTGGAGTGCAATGGTATGATCACTGCTCACTGCAGCCTCGATCTTCTGGGCTCAAACAATCCTCCCACCACCTCAGCCTCTTAAGTAACTGGGACTACAGGCGAGAACCACCATGCCCGGCTAACTTTTATTTATTTTTGTAGAGATGGGGGTCTTACTAGATTGCCGAGGATGGTCTCAAACTCCTGGGCTTATAGCAATCCTCCTGCCTCAGCCTCCCAAAGTGTTGGAATTAAAGGTGTGAGCCAGCACTCCCAGCTCATAACAGCATATTAATAAAGTTAATGAAATCCTATAAATGTTTGGAACCAAGTAGTAAGTGAAATTTGCTTTCCCATGTAGCCAAGTGGTAAATGAAATTTACCACTATAAATTTGAATCAGTACCACCGATTCAACTTCAGATTCGTTGTTCGTTACCAAATTGCCTCTTACCGAATCTGACCTGGTCTGTCTACCTCTAATGCAAATGAAATTTACCACTGCTTTCCATATATGTTGTTGCCAAGGTTCATGTAGGGATGGACTGGGAATAATGGGGGAAGTTAGTTCTAGGGAGGTAGAAATAGTTCTGTTTTAGAGTAGACTGAACCAGATACCTAGTCTTTCACAAAAGCCGTTTGAAAACCTGGAAAGTCTCGACCTTCTGAACACCTTTCAGAATGGAGACATATCTGTTAGTTGGGCATTGAACTAAGCCAGCAACATGCCATTGTTTCAGACTACTTCAGACCTCTATAAGCTAACTTCAAGCTAAATTACATTTCCCAAGTCTGTCTGTCATTGACTTCTGGGTAGGGAGAGATGAGTGAGATAAGACTTCAGCAACTTTGCCTTTATATTGCCTTGCCTTTTGAAAAACGACCCGTATTTGAAGACACATCTTCAGATACAGGATCTGATTATGTTAATCTATATTAATAGATTTTTTTAGGTGTAATCTATTAGTTCCTACTGTAGAATATGAGAATTTAGCTCTCTTTCTGCCTTCCACTCACCCCATCACATATCCATCTTTTCTGTGCTCTGACTCTTACAATTTAAGCTGTGGAATAATCTATAACTCTTCCTCAACAATTTTATAATCTCCATGTGGCTAATAATTGTTTTATTTTGGTTTTCATTTGCTTAGCTTTCTATGTATTTATCACTGATTCAACTTCAAATTCTTTGTTCGTTACCAAATCACCTCTTAAGGCATTTAGATACATTGGATATTTTACAATTTCCTCTTCGTGACAATGCAAACTTTCTGACCTGATCTGTCTACCTCTGATGCACAACTAATCCTGGGGTTTCCCTTCATCGTTGTTTACAAAATAACTTTCTTGAACCTCATGTGTTGGATTTTTACTGTCAGTATCCTTTAGCTTTCTCTTTGTTGGTTTCTTCCTTGTTGCCTTATTGGAACATAACCTCTAGGAGCTTCCTGAAACATAGTGCATCAGTAATAAATGTTTTAAGACCTTGCAAGTCTGAAAGTGGTTTTATTTTGCCTTGCTACTGGAACGATAATTTGAATGGTTGTAGCATTCTAATTTTAAAATAATTTTCTTTCAGAATTGTGATGGAATCCATTTTATTTCATCTTTTAGTGTTACTGTTGAGAAGTCTGAAACCATTCTGATTTTTGAACTACTATTTTTTTTCTTTCTGTAAGGCAGTCTACTTCTATCCATTGTTCCAGCCCATTGGTGGGCCCTTTTACTATGAAAACTCATGTCCATAAAGTCTGGGAAATGTTCTTCAATTAATTCCAATTAATTCTTTGGCTGCTTTCTCTTTATTCTGTCTTCTTTTTTCTGAAACTGTTTTTATTCAGATACTGAACTTGCTTTCTAAATTTCTCTTTTTTTTTTCTTGTCTATAATCTCTAGCAGGTTGCCTTGACTTTTTGTGAAATTATGTCCTGTTTCATGGTTGCAATGTCTTACACCTCTAAGGATGATAATGACAATTTTTAAAAATGTTTTAAGTTATTTTCTCCTTAATGGTCTGTTTTCCTCCAGATTGGTTTTTTTCTCGTCTCTGTTTGTTTTGATCACTGTATTTCATGCTGGAGGCTTTCCCCAGATGTCTGGTAATCTTTATTGTGTGCTCAGCCTTATGGGTAGAGAATTAAGAAGCTCCTGGGAGATCTATGCTCCTGAATGGGGCTTGTTGGTTGTGAGTTTTACTGTTGAGTTATCTGGTAGGGCCATTATATTGGGCTGATCTGCTGCCTGGAGGATGAGGGTGTGGTTTCCAGGGTTTTGTTTTGGTGGTCTTGGGCTCCAGTTCTTCACACTCCAAGACTCAACTATCCTTATGTGCCCCCATTCAAAGATTTTCACCTTTTTAAAGAAAAAGCTTCAGACTTTCGCTGAGTGCTAGCAGGACAGTTGTCTGGCTGGGTTGTCTAGCTGCCTGCCCACCCCTCCCCCCGCCGCCTTTTTTTGTCTTAATATCTAAAGTATTTTTTTAAATCAAGTGAAGAAGTACTTAATGCTAACCATGTAAAACATTGTGCTAGGGACTTGGGAAGATACAAAGAACCTAATCTGGATTCTGCCATTAAGAACTTCACAGATCACTATGGAAGATGCACACAAACATCTATGCTTTGAAGTGCTAAGGGATACATATAGCAGGTAGATTTAGTGGTTTACATAATACAGGTTTTAAAACATGTTCTTTTGACTTCCTCTGGACTTATTGATAAAATGGTTTCAAAAGCATATTAAAAAACAAAAACAACACCCACTAAAATGAAGTGAACAAGTTGAAATTGGTTACTACCAGATACCTTTCTTTGAAGACTTTTTCATAACGCTTCAGATTCTGAAGACTTTCAATTAGTCTTTCTTATCTTAATTCCTGCCTCTTTGTCCTCATTTCTAGAGGTATATAGTGCTATTAATTCTTTTCCTCCATTTTTTTATTGTGAGAAAACACACATAACATAAAATTTACCATCTTAACCATTTTAAAGTGTACAGTTCGATGGTATTAAGTATATTCATAATGTGTAACCATCACCACCATCCATCTTTTAACTCTTTTTTTCCCTTTATACTGAAACTGTGTACCTGTTTAAGCAATAACTCCTCATTCTCTCCACCCCCAGACCCTGGCAACCACCATTCTACTTTATGTGTCTGTGATTTTGACAGCTCTAAGTTCCACATATAAGTGGGATCATACAGTATTTGCCTTTTTATAACTGGCTTATTTCATTTAGCATAATGTCCTCAAGGTTCTTCCATGTTGTAGCATATGTCAGAATTTCCCTCCTTTTTAAGGCTGAATAAAATTTCATGTTTATACCTCATTTTGTTTATTCATCCATTGATGGACACTTAGGTTGATGTCACATTTTAGCTATTGTGAATAATGCTACTTTGAATATGGTTGTACATATATCTCTTTAAGATCCTGCTTTCATTTCCATTGGGAACATACCCAGAAATGGAATTGCTGGATCATATGGTAATTTTATTTTTAATTTTTCTAGATATTGCCGTATTTTTTCTGTAGTAGGTGTCTTTGTTTTCACATAGCATATTCTGTATGTCTGTTAGTTCTAGTTGATTTATTTTGTTAAGTCCTCTTTTTCCTTACATGTGTTCTGATTATTCTATCCATTATTGAGATTGGGATTTTGAAGTCTTCAACTATTATTGTAGAACTATATATCACTTCAATTATGTCAGTTTTTGTTGTATATATTATGTGCATAAATGTTTATAATTGTTATATCTTCTTCCTGCACTGAACTTTTTATTAATATATAATATCCTTCTTTGTCTCTTATTTTCTTTTTTTGATTTAAGGTCAACTTTATCTGATACTAATATAGCTACTCCTACTTTCTTTTGTTTGCTATTTTCATGGAATATCCTGTTTCATCCTATCACTTTCAGTATATTTGTGTCTTTGGATCTAAAGTGAGTCTCTTATAAAAAGAGCACCAAGTTGGATTATGTTTTTTAAAATGGTTTCTGCCAATCTCTGTCTTTTGACTGTAGAGTTTAATTCATTTACGTTGAAAGTAATCACTGATACCATTTTGCTGTCTATTTTCTTTCTTTTTTTTTTTTTTTTTTGAGACGGAGTCTCGCTCTGTCACCCAGGCTGGAGTGCAGTGGCCAGATCTCAGCTCACTGCAAGCTCCGCCTCCCGGGTTTAGCCATTCTCCTGGCTCAGCCTCCCGAGTAGCTGGGACTACAGGCGCCCGCCACTTCGCCCAGCTAGTTTTTTGTATTTTTTAGTAGAGATGGGGTTTCACCGTGTTAGCCAGGATGGTCTCGATCTCCTGACCTCGTGATCCGCCCATCTTGGCCTCCCAAAGTGCTGGGATTACAGGCTTGAGCCACCGCGCCCGGCCTTGCTGTCTATTTTCTATCTGCCTTAAAGTTTTCTTTGTCCTTCATCTCCTGCATTACTGTCTTCTTTTGTGTTTAGTTGATTTATTTATTTATTTTATTTTATTTTATTTCATTTTTGAGATGGAGTCTCGCTCTGTGGCCCAGGCTGGAGTGCAGTGACGCAATCATGGCTCATTGCAAGCTCCACCTCCCGGGTTCATGCCACTCTGCTGCATCAGCCTCCCGAGTAGCTGGTACTACAGGCCCCTGCCACCACGCCCGGCTGATTTTTTGTATTTTTAGTAGAGACGGGGTTTCACCATGTTAGCCAGGATGGTCTCAATCTCCTGACCGTGATCTGCCCACCTCAGCCTCCCAAAGTGCTGGTATTACAGGCGTGAGCCACTGTGCCTGGCCGGGCATCAGCCTTTTAAATCCCCTTGGAAGTCACTTCAGCTCAAGAGGTAGAGGCTTGTATCAGTGGGGGGAGGTGCAACAACAATGGCTGCCTGCCTCTTTGTTGTTGCTCTATGATCAAAGCAGGCAATCAGTGATCAGAGAACAGATCTCTGATATTTGGAGGACAGGATCCTTTTTGCCAACCCTAGTTCCTACAACTGTGAGCAAAGTTCTCCGGGAACAGATGCATGGCTACCTGCCATGGGGCTAGAAGGGTGAGGTGTAGGTAACTGCTACTGTGCCAAGAGCAGGCATTGATCAAAATTAACCTCAATTTACAATCCAAGCCTTCCCCTGGAAGTTGCAAGCTTTCAATTCACTGCAGAGTTTCATAATAGTTACATCAGACAGATTCTGCCAGTACCGTTGTTGTCTAGGTGGGAAGACAGATACCTGGTGCTTCGGACTCTGCCGACTTCCCAGAATATTCTCTAGTTCTTAAGCCCTTTGTTGGTAAATTGGTTCTTCGGTTGTCCTGCTGTCTGCTAGGACTCAGATCTCCTTTGGCCCTTACTACTTTTCTGTAGGCTTTAAATATTCAAATTGTGTTCATGTCTTTTTTTTTTTTTCGTTCTCCTTGGCCTTGTGGGTTTAATTAAGCTTTATTAAAAAACGTAACTATTTATTGTTTTTAGTGGGATTTGGGAAGGAAGTGAAAATAGATGAGTTTGTTTAGTCTTTATCTGGAAGTCTTGTCTCTTTTTTTTTGTTTGTTTGTTTTGAGATGGAGTCTCGCTCTGTCGCCCAGGCTGGAGTGCAGTAGCATGATCTCGGCTCACTGCAAGCTCCACCTCCCGGGTTCACGCAATTCTCCTGCCTCAGCTTCCCGAGTAGCTGGGACTACAGGCACCCACCACCGCGTCCGGCTAATTTTTTTGTATTTTTTAATAGAGACAGGGTTTCACCGTGGTCTCGATCTCCTGACCTCGTGATCTGCCCACCTCGGCCTCCCAAAGTGCTGGGATTACAGGCGTGAGCACCACGGCCGGCCTATCTGGGAGTCTTGTCTCTTTATGTGCACTTGTCTTATCTTCTTCAACTAGCCTGCAAACTCTTTGATTTAGCTGAGTTGGGGATATAATTCTTTTTATCCCTCTCAGCAGCTAATTTATTGCTTTCCACATAGAAATCATAATCTGCTGGTTGAACTTGTTAAGTAAGGCAGTGATGCTAAGTGATTGATACAGATAACAAATTGGTAATCATTTTAATCCCAGGGCAATTATTAATGTACTGTGTTCCTTGATACACATAATTACATATAACATTATATATTATATAATATACTGTAGCCATTTACATATTTCTGTATTAGGTGGGGTTTTTTTTTAATTGTTTTAGCTTATCAGCTATCATTAGTGTTAGTATATTTTATGCGTGGCTTAAGACAATTCTTCTTCACTGTGGCCCAGGGAAGCCAAAAGATTTGACACCCACCCGTGTTCTAGCTATGTAGAAACACATACTATACCATACTACTGGGCACTAAGTCAATGCTTTGTCATGTGAAAAAGTCGTCACTATATTTAGGTCTTCTTAATAATACATTTCATTATCTTAATTGCACCTATGTTTCATTTAGCCAGGGATTTCTTAGGGTAACAGTCACTAATTACCTAGAGATTGAGAAAAAACTCAGTTATGATTATTTGTTGCCCTTTCTTTTTCCCTGGTTCTCTATTTAAATGTATTCTTATCAATGAAACACTAAACAAACTTCTCTTAATCTAATGTAATTCTCTATAGTAGTTCATAGGAATTATGTAAGGTTCAGTTTAAAACAATGGATTCTTAAGATAGTATGTACTCTAAAGTTTAGTCTAGACACTAAATGAAAGTGAGTGCTTTGGCAGTTTATGTCCTAGGCTAAGTCAGGGTACAGATATATATCTATTAATTATCTTGTCTTTCCAGTCCAAACAGGGGCTTTACAGAAATGCACTGTATGAGTGGCCATTCCAATTTTGTATCTTGTGTATGCATCATACCCTCAAGTGACATCTACCCTCATGGCCTAATTGCCACTGGTGGAAATGACCACAATATATGCATTTTCTCACTGGACAGTCCAATGCCACTTTATATTCTAAAAGGCCACAAAAATACTGGTGAGTATAATAATACTTCGGTATTTTTCTATTTGAAGAAGTTTTATCCCTTTGAAAGTAAAATTTACATATCCATTTTCTCAAGTTTTTATTATATTTTGTTTTATCTATAGGTGTGGCTTGGTAATGGAAACCCTTTTGGGCTATCTTAGTTTTGTAAATTCTGTTAAAAATTTGTTGTGATCAGTAAAGGTTGATACGCTTATATATGTAAAAAGTAATCTGTTCAGTTATTGGCTGGGGACGGTGGCTCACACCTATAATCCCAGCACTTTGAGAGAGTGAGATAGATTACTTGAGGCCAGGAGTTCGGGACCAGCCTGGAAAATGTGGCAAAACCCCATCTCTAATAAAAATACAAAAATTATCCAGGCGTGGTGGTGCACACCAGTAATCCTAACTGCTCTGGAGGCTGAAGCATGAGAATGGCTACAACCCAGCAGGCAGAGGTTACAATGAGCCAAGATCCTGCCACTGCACTCCAGCCTGGGTGACAGAGTGGAGGTTGTCTCAAAAAAAAAAAGTAAAGTGTTCAGTAATAAAAGAGGCTATATAATTTGAATATACTTCATGACTTTGGTTTTTAACTATTTTATGCAATGAATGCTTTTATTCAGGAAAACTAAAAGTATTTAATAAAAGACCCAGCCAGAAGCAGTGTGTTTAGGGCTGTGGTATTATTGAAGAGTATTTAATACATTTGCATATTATTTTCTGTGATTTGTATGTATTTCTGATTCCGTGATAGTTCTGGATTTCTGTGTGGCTTAACAATTCTTTATTGTAGAATGACATGCTTAATCGGTGCACTAAGTATACTTTTTTTAAATATAAATGAAATGGTTTGGAACATTTTTCATAAACACTTTAAACTTAATTCCTTTAAAGAATTTGTATAATGTGCCAGTCACCATGACTCATACATGTAATCCCAACACTTAGGGAGACTAAGACGGGAGGATTGCTAGAGGCAGTTTGAGACCAGCCTGAGCAACATAGGAAGACTCTATCTCTACAAAAAATTAAAAAATTAGCTGGACATGGTGGTGAATACTTGTAGTCCCAGCTACTCAGGAAGTTGAGGTGAGAAAATCACTTTAGCCCAGGAGTTGGAGGCTGCAGCGCCACTGCACTCCAGCCTGGGTGATAGAGTGAGACCCTGTCTCTAAAAACAAAAATATTTTTTTTTTTTTGAGACAGAGCCTTGCTCTGTCGCCCAGGCTGGAGTGCAGTGGTGTGATCTCGGCTCACTGCAAGCTCTGCCTCCCGGGTTCATGCCATTCTCCTTCCTCAGCCTCCCAAGTAGCTGGGACTACAGGTGCCTGCCACCATGCGTGGCTAATTTTTTTGTATTTTTAGTAGAGACGGGATTTCACCATGTTAGCCAGGATGATCTCGATCTCCTGACCTCGTGATCTGCCCACCTTGGCCTCCCAAAGTGCTGGGATTACAGGCATGAGCCACCGCACCCAGCCAACAAAAATAATTTTTTATTTTTAATAATTTTTTAATTTTAATATTTATTTTGAGACAGTCTCCATCTGTCACCAGGCTGGAGTGCAGTAGTGTGATCTCGGGTCACTACAGCCTCTGCCTCCCGGGTTGAAGTGATTCTCCTGCCTCAGCCTCCAGAGTAGCTGGAATTACAGACACCCACCACCACGCCCAGCTCAGCTCATTTTTGTGTTTTATTGTTTTGTTTTGTTTTGTTTTTAGACAGTCTCGGTGGTCACCAGGCTGGAGTGCAGTGGCGTGATCTCAGCTCACTGCAACCTCTGCCTCCCGGGTTCAGGCAGTTCTGCCTCAGCCTCCCGAGTAGCTGGGACTACAGGAACCCACCATCACACCCAGCTAATTTTTGTATTTTTAGTAAAGACAGGGTTTTACCATGTTGGCCAGGATGGTGTCGATCTCTTGACCTTGTGATCTGCCCGCCTTGACCTCCCAAAGTGCTGGAATTACAGGTGTGAGCCATCAAGCCCGGCCTATTTTTGTGTTTTTAGATAGGGATGGGATTTCACCATGTTGGCCAGGCTGGTCTCGAACTCCTGACCTCAGGTGATCCACCCGACTCAGTCTCCCAAAGTACTGGGATTACAGGCGTAAGCCACTGTGCCCAACCAAAACAGAAAGAATTTTTAAATGTTTGTGTGCATATGTGTGTGTTTGTGTGAGAAATCTTCAATACAGAGTGATACAGATTTTTAAAATTTTATTATGGAAATCGAATGTACACAAAAGTAGAGGTATCTTATTTTTGTTTCATCTTCCCCTCCTTCTGCTACATCATTTAAAAATTTCTGATATTCTTTTATTTCGTTTATAAATACATCCTTCATTATGTGGCTCTAAAATAGGGGATGGCAAACTTTTTCTTTAAAGGATCAGATAGTAAATACATTTTAGGCTTTTCAGGCCATATGGTTGCTATCATAACTGCTCAGCTCTGCAGTTGCAGTGCACAGCAGCTATAGATAGTAAATAAACAAATGAGCATGTCTGTGTTTCAATAACTCTTCATTTGTGAACACTGAAATTTGAATTTCATAGAATTTTCACATATTAGAAGATTGCCTTTGATTCTTTTTCTCTCAATTACTTAAATATGTAAAAGCCATTCTTAGGTTGTTAGGTGTACAAATACAGGTGGCTCACTGGCATTAGTTTGCTGACCCTTCTAAAAGATAAAGACACTCTCGTCCTCTAAAAGGAAAGAATAACCACAATATTATTATCACACCTAAAACAAAACAAAAACTAATCTATTGTCAGCTATCAAAATGAATGTTCAAATTTACCCAGTTGTGTCATAAATGTTTTTTACAGTTTATTTGAATTCTGACCTAAATAAGGTCCACATCTTTTTTTTTTTTTTTTGACAGGGGAGATGGAGTCTCGCTCTTTTGTCCGGGCTGGAGCACAGTGGAGTAATCTCGCCTCACTGCAACCTCCGCCTTCCGGGTTCAAGTGATTCTCCTGTCTCAGCCTCCCAATTAGCTGGGATTACAGGTGCCCACCACCAGGCCTGGCTAAGTTTTTTGTAGTTTTAGTAGAGATGGGTTTCGCCATGTTGTCCAGGCTGGTCTCAGACTCCTGACCTCTGGTGATCCATGTTGTCCAGGCTGATATCTAACTCCTAACCTCTGGTGATCTGCCTGCCTCAGCCTCCCAAAGTGCTGGGATTACACACATGAGCCACCGTGCCCAGCCCTACATCTTTCAATCGTCAGTTTCTTTCTTTTTTCCTTGTTGTTTGAAACCAGATTATTTTAGCTGTAGAATTTCCCACAGTCTCAATTTTACTGGTTAAAGCCTTGTTGTTCCCTTTAATGTGTTCTTCAGTCACCTATATTTCTTGTAAGCTGTTAGATAGATCTAGTAGCTTTATCAGGTTCAGAGTCAAGTTTCTGGCAACAGTATATGTGGTATTCTGTATTTTCTGTTGTATCACATCAGGAAGCACACAATATCTTTTCGTGATATTAAGATTGATCAGTGGAGCTGGGCGCGGTGGCTCGCGCCTGTAATCCCAGCACTTTGGGAGGCCGAGGCGGTTGGATCACAGGGTCAGGAGATCGAGGCCAAAACCCCGTCTCTACTAACAATACAAAAAATTAGCCGGGTGTGGTGGTGGGTGCCTGTAGTCCCAGCTACTTCAGAGGCTGAGGCAGGAGAATGGCGTGAACCCGGGAGGCAGCGCTTGCATTGAGCGGAGATTGTGCCACTGCACTCCAGCCTGGGCGACAGAGTGAGACTCTGTCTCAAAAAAAAAAATAAATTAAATAAATAAATAAAGATTGATCAGTGGGTTCAAGTATTGTATCATTCATTCATTATAAAGTTCCCATCAGCCTTTCACATAATGGTAATTTTTAGCAGCTACTGATAATCATTTCCTAGATTCGATATTTTATTAAGATTAACAAAATGATTGTACTGTAATTCTAATATTATTTCTGCATTTGATCACCAACACTTTTCTGTATAGATCTTTCCACATCAACTCTGGTTACCATGTGGAACTTTTATAGAGAAAAGACAGAATAAATGCTTGCCTTGACCCTTCTCCTAAATTATTTACTGATTTTCAGAAGGCGTTGTTTACTGAATATCTTTTTTTTTCTTTTCATTTCTCAAATTGTTTCATATCTGGCCATTGGAAACCTCTTTAAATTGGCTCCTATGACCTTTTAATAAGACCTTCAGTAGTCTTCCTTGCTTTCTAATATTACAGAATGTTCTAAGTTCAATTTGCACATTTCTTGCTCTAGACCTCAAACCAGCACTTTTGCCAGGAAGTCCTGTTTGTTTTTTTTCTTTTAATGGGAAATGGTATTTTATTCAATTATTTTATACTGGTTTGTGGAAGAATGTAAAGAGCACCCAAGTTACAACTATTAAGATCTCAAGCTGGGCACGGTGGTGCACGCCTGTAATCACAGCACTTTGGGAGGCCGAGGCAGGTGGATCACCTGAGGTCAGGAGTTCACGACCAGCCTGACTAACATGGTGAACTCCGTCTCTACTAAATACAAAAAAATTAGCTGGGCGTGGTGACGCATGCCTGTAATCCTAGCTACTTGGGAGGTTGAGACAGGAGAATCACTTGTGCCTGGAAGGCAGAGGTTGCAGTGAGCCAAGATCGTACCATTGCACTCCAGCCTGGGCAACAAGAGCAAAACTCCATCTCAAAAAAAAAAAAAAAAGATCTCAGTGACATAACATATGAGTATTTCTCATTAACCCTGCATGTTCAACATGGATTAATAAAGGGACTCTGTTCATTAGATTTTCTCAGGGACTCAGACTCATGGGGCTTTCTCTCCACACGTGCTTCAGTGGTTGTTGCAGCAGTCAAAGGGCAACATGGTTAATAAGGCACTGGCTGTCTGGGTGCGGTGGCTCACGCCTGTAATCCCAGCACTTTGGGAGGCCAAGGTGGGTGGAACACAAGGTCACAAGATCGGGACCAGCCTGACGAACATGGTGAAACCCCGCCTCTACTAAAAATACAAAAATTAGCCGGGTGTGGTGGCGGGCACCTGTAATCCCAGCTACTTGGGAGGCTGAGGCAGGAGAATTGCTTGAACCCAGGAAGTGGAGGTTGCAGTGAGCCGAGATCACACCACAGTAGTCCAGCCTGGTGACGGAGTGAGACTCCACCTCAAAAAAAAAAGAAAAAAAGGCACCAGCTTTTAAAAGCATGTGCTTTCCTTGAATGTCACCGTAGTGGATAATTTTTAAAAATCAGTTTTAAAAAACACCAAAAACGTGTCTGACTGAAAGTGTCAGCTACCATTTCTGACATTTCTGTTAAAGCTGGAAAGTGTGTTGACTATTGCAAGTATCATGACTGTGCCTTAACTTCAAATGGAGGAGGAAAGTACCATCCTCCCACGCGTCCAAAAAGGGAGAGTTACCACAGCATGCTTTCTGGTCATCAGTTATTCAGCGTCATCAGACAATCCGAAAGTCTTCTCTGAGTGATGCTAAGTATTCTAAACATCAGGGAGGAGATGCTTATAAGTAAGCTGTCACCCATACCCAGTATACAATTATGGAAAAGGAATAGGATAATCAGAGCAAACCCTCTCATTCAGAAGAGGAAGCAGTGCAGGACAACAGTTTTTAATCTAGAGCCATTCTGAAATCCAAATAAGTGGCTGTCTCAAGGATCCTGAACTCAGGGTAGAGAGAGTTTTGTGATTGCTTCCTTCTGGTCTAGGAAAAAGGTTTCCCAATCCATTGTTCTTTATGGCTGTGCTTTGACCCCCCAGGATATTCTTCTTTGTAAGATAATTTTTTTTTTCTTTTTTCTTTTGAGAGAGGGTCTCGCTTTGTTGCCCATACCAAAAGGCAGTGCTGCTACAGCTCACTGCAGCCTTGACTTCCCAGGCTCAAGTGGTTCTCTTACTGGGACGACAGGTGCGTGCCACCATGCCTGATTAATTTTAAAATTTTTTTAGAGGCGGTGTCTCACTATATTGCCCAGGCTGGTCTCAAACTCCTGAGCTCAATCCAAAATGCTAGGATTACAGGCATGAGCCACTTCACCTGGCTAATTTTTCTTTCTTTTTGTTTTAAAGACAAGATCTTGCTCTGTAACCCAGGCTGAAGTGCAGTGGTATGTGATCACAGTTCACTGCAACCTCTGTGCCCTGGGCTCAAGCAGTCCTCCCACCTCAGCCTTCCAAGTGGCTGGGACCACAGGCGCATACCACCACTCTCAGCTAGTTTTTTGTACTTTTAGTAGAGATGGGGTCTCGCCACATTGCTTAGGCTGGTCTCGAACTCCTGAGCTCAAGCAGTCTGCCTGCCTTGGCCTCCCAAAGTGCTGGGATTACAGGTGTGAGTCACCATGCCTGGTGTAATTTTTCGTATTTGTAATTTTTAGCCTGCATACTTTTATATCAAGAAAGACATTTAATTAACCATTTCATTACTGTTGGACTTTGAGCTTGGCTGCAGGTTTTATGGTCATTTTAATGAAAGCAATCTTAAATATATATATAAACAGTGTTTTGAAATCATTTACATTATCTCCCTATTATGATTTGTTAAAGCTGGAAGGATTGTGTATTTCACTTAAGTTCTGCTCCCTCATTTTACAGACAAGGAATCTGATTTTGAGTAGTATTTCTGCAGTTACGTGACTTGTAAGTGCACAGATAGGCCTTGCACCTAGGCAGTCTGGCACCAGAGTCTGCTCTTGACCACTGTACTCTTGTGTGTCTCTGCTGAATTAAGCCTTAGTTAGCTAAGATACCGCCACTTCAAAGAGTGTTTTTAAAATTGGAATGCTTTAGTAACTTTCAATGTTGAGCATTTTTCTATATGAAAATGTGTTATCTAATGATGTTTTTTCCTTAGTTTGTAGTCTATCATCTGGAAAATTTGGGACATTACTTAGTGGTTCATGGGACACCACTGCTAAAGTCTGGCTGAATGACAAGTGCATGATGACCTTGCAGGTACAGTAGTTCTGTGTAAATATTCTAAAGAATAATTAAATTGAATGATTCTGTGGCAACTTAAATTGATACCCATTTTACTCACAGGGTCATACAGCTGCAGTGTGGGCAGTAAAGATCTTACCTGAACAGGGCTTAATGTTGACTGGATCAGCAGACAAGACTATTAAACTGTGGAAGGCTGGAAGATGTGAGAGGACTTTTGCAGGTAAGATCAGGGTAGACAAGTTTTATAATATCATTGCTTTTTATTTGCTCAGATATTTTTTCTCAGAAGTTTAAAAGCATTTGAAAATATTTGAAAACATTAGTATATTTAAGCTACTAATTTGAGTTAATGTAATTTTTCTGATGAGTTAATATCTAATACCTTTAAAAAAGATATAATGAGACCTCTCATAAAACAGCCAGGTGTAGACTGATAAATAGCTGTCTGATAAGCTATATATAATATGTGTATGTGCTCTGCATATATGTATGTAAATTTTGGTACATAGTTACATTCTTGGTTGTCATTTTAATACTTTTAGCCTGAAACTTCTAAACATAAGCCTTATTGATGGTTAGTCAGCAGTGTTATCTTCATATATGGAAGAAAGCATTATTAATGTCTTTATATTGAAGCACATTGTTTATAATGGATTTCAGGCTTTGTTTATGTTGTGGTTTGTGGTGAGTATTCTTTTTAAGCCCCAGCTATTAAATAATGCCAATACTGATGCATCTGCTATCTAATAGTAATATCACTGATTTATTTGTAGAGTACTTAAATTTTTACTGTGAATTTTAATTGGTGTTGTTTTTCCTCTCTTTTTGAATTTTTTCCTTAAAAGTTGGTAACTACCCTAGATAATATGCAAGAGGTCCCTTTGTACAGATAAAAGTGTCTTTTGGCTGGGTATGGTGACTCACACCTGTAATCCCAGCCCTTTGGGAGGCTGAGGTGGGTGGATCACTTGGGACCAGGAGTTCCAGACCAGCCTTGGCAACATGGTGAAACCCTGTCTCTATTAAAAATTTAAAAAAGGCTGTGCGCGGTGGCTCACACCTGTAATCCCAGCACTTTGGGAGGCCGAGGCGGGTGGATCACAAGGTCAAGAGATCAAGACCATCCTGGCCAACATGGTGAAACCCTGTCTCTACTAAAAATACAACTGGGCGTGGTGGTGCGCACCTGTAATCCCAGCTACTCGGGAGGCTGAGGCAGGAGAACTGCTTGAACCCGGGAGGTGGAGGTTATAGTGAGCCGAGATTGTGCCACTATACTCCAGCCTGGCGATGGAGCAAGACTCTGTCTCAAAAAAATAAAATAAATATAAATAAAAATACAAAAAAATTAGCCAGGCATAGTAATGCACGCCTGTAATCCCAGCTATTTGGGGGGCTGAGGCACAAGAATCTCTTGAACCCTGGAGGCAGAGGTTGCAGTGAGCAGAGATAGCTCCATTGCACTCCAGCATAGGCAACAAAGTGAGACTCTGTCTCACAAAAGCAAGAAAGAGAAACAAAAAAAGTATCTTTTGATGGAAAGTGGATGATGACTAAACATCCTTTTATTTCTGCTTCAATATATATTATATATATGTATCAATCATTATTAATCTGTGATAGTTAATCTAAGTCAACAAATACTGAACATAGGAAATCTGACTTCTCATCTCCTTCACAAGGTTCAGAGAATGTTTTGTTCTTAAATTTATGGGCTATTCTTTGTTTTATATTTCTATTATGTTTGAATATTATGTATTTTATAAGTTACTCTTGTTATTTGGGAAGAAAAATTAAAAATGAATTATCAGGTAGAAATGAATTGTTGGGATCAAAATACTATTTCTAGAGGTTTTTGGAGAAGACAGGATGAATATAAAATAACTTCCCAAGACTGATGATAAAAAAATATTGCTAAACCTTAAATACAAATTTTGGTTACCAGACTTTCAACAGAAAATAAGATTTCTCTAACTTGAAAATTAATTAATTTTTACTACTCACTGATATGTTTTATAATGTTTGTAAAATGTATAAAGCCATCAGCCAAATTATCTGTTTTATTGATATGCATTATTGTTTTTTAATGCAGGGCATGAAGACTGTGTAAGAGGTTTGGCAATTTTGAGTGAAACAGAATTTCTTTCCTGTGCAAATGATGCTAGTATTAGAAGGTGGCAGATCACTGGCGAGTGTCTTGAAGTATATTATGGACATACAAATTATATTTATAGCATATCCGTTTTTCCAAATTGTAGAGGTAAGGTTATATTATGTATTTAATGTTTTGTATTGATCATTCCGTCCCATTTGTGAGATAAAAGGAGGAGGGCTGATTACTGTCTGTGGGGACTTGAATAATTTAGTAAATTTATTTCGTAAGTATCTTTCTCCTGTTTACAAAGAAGAAAATTGTATGGCGATCTTTGTATTAATTCAGATTACATTGTTGTGTTGTAAAAAGTTCTTGGGTATCTGAAGAAAGACTTTGTAAGATGTGACATGAATAAAAAATGTGATTTTGAAGTTGTATATGTTGTAGGTGACAAAACATGAAATTTAAAGCTGTAATTTTAAAACTCTTTGGGTTTCAGAAAGTGTATCCGGAAAGATGGTATGTATAAATGTACTTAATTTTATTTATTCAAACTAATACTTCCTATGTTCATTAATTTTAGACTTTGTGACAACAGCAGAGGACAGATCTCTAAGAATCTGGAAACATGGGGAATGTGCTCAAACCATCCGACTTCCAGCTCAGTCTATATGGTGCTGCTGTGTGCTCGACAATGGTGACATTGTGGTTGGTGCGAGGTATTTATATCCTAGTCAGTCATTAAATGTTATGTGTCTAGGCCTTCAGTAGGCACTAGAGTGTATAGAGATAAGCCATGAGGAATTTCAGGTGTCTTGGGAAGACTATATGGACACTTCAGTTACTAAATAAAACAGTAGTAGATTTTATAGCTTTCACATTAAGTGATGCATGATGTACCAGTATTGTACTGCAATTGTGCAGTCAAGATATTGACTACAAAAGAAGTTAGAGAAGGTAGAGATTGGTGTGGGAAAACTTTCTGTAGAAGAAGTTTGAATTGGATTTTGGAAGATTATGAGTAAGAAAAGGTACGTGAATTTTTGTCAAAGCTAAGAGTATAAGTTTCCTTCGTGAGAATGAATGCAGCATGCCTAGGAAGTGAAGGAAAATGGTGGAGTACTGATGCTGGGATAATAGGTACAATGGGGCTTAACTGTGGAGAACCTTTAGTGCTTTCATGCCAGGCATTTTTTAGATTCATTGCTTGGGGTTAAAGGGTTGTGGTTCTTGAGCAAGAAATAGAATTGAAGCAGAACTTACGAATTATTAAATGTGTAGATTGGATTTAACTACTGGTGACAATGGACAGGAAAGTATATTAGAAAGCAAATACAGTAGGAGTGTGAAGTTATAAGACATTGGCCCCACAATGCTAATGGGTAGGAAATAAATAAATGAGATAATCCAGAAGGAAAACAGTCAGAAAAAGGATGAAAGAAAAGGATAAAGCTTCAAACTGTTGGTGATTGGAAGTCCCCATTAATAAAAATGGAGAAGTGGGAGAATTGGTTGGGTACAGAAGGTGATGACTGTGGCCTTAGACTTCCTGAGGTCTGCAGTGGTGGTGAGCCACACTCATGCCAGTGGATCATGGTCATTTGAACTGGAGCCTAGTATAAGAACTGAGGCTAAGATAAAGATTTCGCAAAGCTTCCAAAAGCAAACCATAGAACACCATTCTCTGAGAGAAGAAATATAGGGGAGGAACAGAAGACTAAGAACTGAGTTTTATGATACACCATTAGTAGAGAAAAAGAAGCTAGTAGGTTAAACAAAACAAAGCAATTCAAATGTTGAAATTTCTGGGAGACAGAAAAGGAAAGATTTTGGAGGGAGATTGTCATCAGTGTCAAAAAGTGTTTGAGGAGTCAAGGAATGGTAAGTTTGGAAAGCATTTGGATTTGAAAGATGTTGTTAGTGACTTTTGGCATCAATCACATTTTGAATGGAAAATGATAGGAAAAAAGGCAAATAAGAGGAAATAAAGGGTTGGAGGAGATGGATGAAGGATCGTAGACTACTCTATAATGCTACTGTAGCATTGAAAGCAATAAGAAGGCCAGCTGCTGTGGCTCACACTTGTAATCCCAGCACTTTGGGAGGTCAGGGGGGAGGATCGCTTGAGCTCAAGAGTTCGAGACTATCCTGGGTGAGCTCCTGAGACCCTGTCTCCACAAAGAAAATTCTTTAATTAGCTGGGCGTGGTGGCATGCATCTGTAGTCCCAGCTGCTCAGGAGGCTGAGGTGGGAGGATTGCTTGGGCCCGGGAATTTGGGGTTGCAGTGAGCTGTGATTGCCGCCGCTGCACTCCAGCCTAGGTGACAGTGGGACCCTGTCTCAAAAAAAAAAAAAAAGAAGAAGAAAAAGAAGGTGACAGCTATAAGGGATAGAGGGTCTAATAAAGTGAGTGTTTTATTTTTTGGCTGGGACAGGGGGTGATTTATAGGCTTAGTTTTTTTCCCCCCAAGCATATTTGAAGTTGAAGAAAAACCAATAGAAAGAGTGATACACATGTTTGTGGATGATTAAGTTAGAAACAGGTTTCCTGTAGAATGGGCCAGGATTAATACAACTGAAAGTGTCTAATTTGCTTCTCCTATCTCAACATTTAGAATTAAGAAATCATGGAGATGAAGTAATTTTTCTGAGAAAAGAGGTTAAGATTGGCCATCTAATCCAAACATTAGGCCATTTTTTTTTCCCCTTGATTGAAGTTACATTGCTAGTTACTGGCATAGTAAAGGAAGACCATATTTTTCTACTGAACATCTGCTAATTTTAAGCCCTACGTTGGGTCTTTGAGCCCTTTATAAACTAAACTAGCCCACTACCCTTCTCTATATGGTAATAACTATATAATATTGACTTTAAAACTACATACTATAGTTCTAGATTTTTACAATGGTAAATATTTAACTTGGAATTGGAACTTGTATAAAATAGATATTTCTCTGTTCTTTGTCAATAATTTGTCTATTAAATAGTTGACATAATAGTAGTATGTGCTGAAGTCAGCACAGTGCTATAATCAGCAATTAATACATGCTAATGTTTCTCCTTCACAAATACAGATGATTTTTACTATGGATCATTCAGGTGTGATAATGTTAATGTATTATTATGGCAATGGCTTTTTAAATCAGTTTATTTTTCCTTACAGTGATGGCATTATTAGAGTGTTTACAGAATCAGAAGATCGAACAGCAAGTGCTGAAGAAATCAAGGCTTTTGAAAAAGAGCTGTCTCATGCAACCATTGATTCTAAAACTGGCGATTTAGGGGACATCAATGCTGAGCAGCTTCCTGGGAGGGAACATCTTAATGAACCTGGTAAGTATTTTATTGTACCTAGTAGGAAAAATTCACCATATTTGGCTTTTGGAATAATTAAGAGAAGAAAAATAAATGTTGTTTTGCTCGTGTTTTAGTGTTACTCTCATTGCTAGATGCTGATTTTTGAGAATTTCTACTATTATATATAATCACTATGAGAAACCATGTTCTTGCCTCTGTCTCACAGTAGACTTTGAATTAAGCTTCTCATAAACAGGAATTAAAAAATAAATCTCCCAAGACTTAGACCATTTACAGTAGGCATTCAAAAGGCACTCATTTAATACTTTTTGGTTGATTGGATTCTCTAAGAGGGGTTGTACAAACTGAATATTAGAACGAGTTTAAATACATAATTAGCCAGGTGTGATGGCATGTTCCTATAGTCCCAGCTACTCAGGAGGCTGAAGTGGGAGGATGATTGAGCCCAGCAGGTCGAGGCTGAGCTGAGACCACACTATTGCACTCCAGCACAGGTGACAGAGTGTGACTGTGTCTCAAAAAAAAAAAAAGAGTTTAAATCAAGCATTGTCTGTGTAATGAGTTGGGAATCATTTGAGTTCGAAATCAGGAGACAGTAGTCATCTCAAATGAAATCTTGTGTTGGATGTATCTCTTGACTGCGTAATTATACCAGTGCTTCTAAAAGCTTGATTCATGGACCTCTGGGGATTCTGAGATCCTTTCAGGATGTCCATGAGGTCAAAACTAATTTTTGTAATACTAGATATTATTTGAATTTTGTACATTGTGTAAGAGGGGAGATTAAAGTATGATGGTCTAGGCCAGAAGCGGCATATATCACACCCACCCAGATTCCACTGACCATTACTCAGTAATGTGACATCATGTGACTGCTCGATGGCATGGGGGCTAGATAATGTAGTCTCTGGCTAGACAACTACAGCTGTATCCAATGGAAGAAGAGCATGATTCTTTGGAGGATGGATAGCTGTCTCCACCACTGAAGGCCTTGTTGAGAACATGACATTTGTGTAAAGTCATTAAAGAGGCAAAGGAGCAAATACTGCCAATATCTGTGTAAAGAGTATCATAGGCAGAATAAACAGCCAGTGCAAAGGCTCTGTGGCTGAAATTGGCAAATGAGGGGACAGGGGGAGTAGTAGAAAGTAAGATCATATAGGGTAGTAGGGACAATTTATATTTGGTCTTGTACACTACTCAAGAGTTTAGGCTTTTACCAAGTGAGATTAGAAGCATTGATGGGTTTCAAGCAGTAGAGTGTCAGGACCTAGTTAAACTTTTGAAAAAATTCCTGAGGTTGCTGGGTGGAATATACACTGTCAGGGGCCAAGAGCACAGGTAAGAGGCCATTGAATCAACCCAACTGAGAAATGATGGTGGCTTGGACCAAGGGATGATGATGGAGATGTTAAGGAGACAGTTTTCTGGATATAAAGAATGAGCTGGGCGGGCGTGGTGGCTCAAGCCTATAATCCCAGCATTTTGGGAGGCCGAGATGGGCAGATCACGAGGTCAGGATATCGAGACTATCCTGGCTAACACAGTGAAACCCCATCTCTACTGAAAAAATACAAAATACTAGCCGGGCGAGGTGGCGGGCACCTGTAGTCCCAGCTACTCGGGAGGCTGAGGCAGGAGAATGGCGTAAACCCAGGAGGTGGAGCTTGCAGTGAGCTGAGATCCGGCCACTGCACTCCAGCCTGGGCGACAGAGTGAGACTCCATCTCAAAAAAAAAAAAAAAAGACTGAGCTGATAGAAGTAGCTGAAGCGGGTGCTGAGAAGTAGCTGAAGGAGCTATGCGGTTGAGAGAAAGGTATTAGACTTTCCTACTTTTCAGCCTGAGCCACTGGATTAATGGAGAGCCATTTATGGAATGAAATGTGTTAGGAAGATACATTCACTAATAAAACTTGTTTTATTTTTGATGGGCCAGTTGCTTCCTAGTGGAATCACGTTTTGTTAACCTTCCTTTGACTAATAATATTTCCTTTTAACTGTTATTTTTTTTTGGCCACTTTCTAGTAAAATTACATTTTTAAATATTTAATACAATTTTATTTTAAAACAAAATCCATATTCTCTTGTGTGTAAATTTTAATGTTAAGAATTTTCTATCTAAATGTTTTTCAATTTTACACTGCCATTCTACCTTTGATTCTTAAAATTTTTATTTTAAGGTACTAGAGAAGGACAGACTCGTCTAATCAGAGATGGGGAGAAAGTCGAAGCCTATCAGTGGAGTGTTAGTGAAGGGAGGTGGATAAAAATTGGTGATGTTGTTGGCTCATCTGGTGCTAATCAGCAAACATCTGGAAAAGTTTTATATGAAGGGAAAGTATGTCGACTTCTACTTTCTAATTACTGTTATCTTAAATCATTAGGCAAATTAAAGGTTTCCTTTGCCCCATAGTGATAAAATTTTCTTTGTTTTGACATTTAAAAATACATTACTGTGTGGGATAATAATCTTTTTTTTTCCTTGTCTTGAAATAGATATTTTAAAAGTACCTTTCCATGTAGTAAGAGCTGCATTTGATAGACAAATTAGCAATTGTCTGTCACTTAGTAATTTCTGTACAAAAGCTGTTCCCAGCCATTTTGTATTGGGAGCTTCTGTGCCACCTTTCATCTAATACCTCATGCCTGGCTATATTTAACTTGACAAGACATGAGGGACCCTGCAGGGCAGTGCTTAAAATGCCGGCATGTTTTGGTGAGTAGGGCACAGTAACAGCTGATAATTTTGACGTTGGTATCAACTAGTTGGAAACTCTCCTTTGGCTCTAGAATTAATATGTAGTTGTAATCCATCTTTCATCCTCACCCCCATCCCCTAATGAAATACTAATTTTGCATCACATGCAGATGGGGGCTATTAATCTTTATCTGCCAAAAAGGAAGATTTTAGCACTGTACTTTGGAGAAAATTTAAGTACTATAATTATTAAAATAAAGAACACATCTGCGTTATCTTGTATGTCATTAATATATGTGAACAGATAAATTAATAAACATGTGTCTCCTTTTTATATTCCTGCTTTAGGAATTTGATTATGTTTTCTCAATTGATGTCAATGAAGGTGGACCATCATATAAATTGCCATATAATACCAGTGATGATCCCTGGTTAACTGCATACAACTTCTTACAGAAGAATGATTTGAATCCTATGTTTCTGGATCAAGTGGCTAAATTTATTATTGATAACACAAAAGGTCAAATGTTGGGACTTGGGAATCCCAGCTTTTCAGATCCATTTACAGGTAAGTTAGTGTTTATATTGAGTCTTACGTATTTCCATTAGTGTTGATTGATACTTTTGATGTTTTCAAACACTCATGTGATTAGCTTTTTCAATAAATACCAACATCTACAACAAAGTTTTACTCCACATTCGTATGTTTAAGCCTCAAATTATGTAGTAATTCTGTATTTTACAGAATTAATAGTAAATTGTTGTCTTTCAAAAATACAATCATACTATAATGGAATTTCAGTTATTTGAAACAAAAACAAACTTGTAAGTTCTTTTATATAGTATTTCTTTTTAAAAATTATATTTTGGCAAAATTTAGTAAATAATTCTTTTTTCACATGAGGCTAAATTGGTCAGTCATGCATCAAATCTAAAGGTGAGCCCTGTGGGTAGTTTTAGTTTATATGTGATATATATTCTACAAGTTCATTTTAAGTTAGTTGTTTGTAACATCGTATGCAATATCTCAGATGTTATAAATGCAGTTAGGTGCTCATAACAGTCTGTAAATTGTAATGCTGGTGGTACTAGTCCAAATTCTGGCTCCTAAGAAGTGGAATCTAATCCTAGTAATATTAATGTGAGTTCTGGAGGCTGGTTAAGAGGAAATAAAATGCCTCCTCCAAATAACATTTTGAGATAGGCACTTGACTGTTAATGTTTTCCTCTCGTCATTTCTGACTCACATTTTTCATGTGCTAGTGCTCTTCCTTGTTTAAAAGGACCTCATATTGTATTCCTGTCTCAAATCCTTATGTAGATCCACCTTTTCTTCCCTGAAAGCTACTCCACATTCCCAAATTATCTCTTCTCCTTCTACTTCAAAATTTCATTGCCCATTCATATAATAAAACTAATGTTTCCTGCATCTTGATTTAAATAGAATTATCAGGTCAGGTGCGATGGCTCATGCCAGCACTTTGGGAGGCCGAGGCAGGCAGATCACAAGGTCAGGAGTGCAAGACCAGTCTGGCCAACATAGTGAAACCCCATCTCTACTAAAAAAGAAATACAAAAAATTAGCCAGATGTGGTGGATATGTGCCTGTAATCCTAGCTCCCTGGGAGACTGAGGCAGGAGAATCACGTGAACCCGGGAGGCAGAGGTGGCAGTAAGCTGAGATTGCGCCATTGCACTCCAGCCTGGGCGACAGTGCAAGATTCTGTCTGAAAAAAATTAAAAATTAAAAAAAAAAATTATCAAAGTAACTCACTACTGAATTACAGATGATCTGATCCTCCAAATACTTGCACTTAAAAAGAAAATAAGTGCTTAGTATTTGGATATTTTTGTTGTTGGAATTTTAGACTGTAGTTCAAAAGAGTGAACACAGATTGTAGTACTGTGTAAGCTATTTTGCATGTGGGATACAGGAAAGGAATTAAAGCAGCTGACTTTGTCTGGAAACCTAGGAAGCACTTGGCTTGTTTTGCCCTTCTAAGACTCTTAACTTTATAAGCATCCTTACTTTTTTTTTGTTTTTGTGGACAACCTGATTATTTCCCTAGAGGTACTAACAAAACATAGGCACATATGCCACACATTCGTAAATGTATAAATGGAAATCTCTTTCCTTTGTAGTTTTCATCCCCTTTCTAATTCTCTTCTCCAGTGGGTTGTAAGCTTCAGTGGGTATTAGCAATTTTGTTCCCTACTGTATCCCCAGCACTGAGTCCATTGTTTGACACATGAATTAATGAACCTGGAGCTCTAAAAGATTAACATTTAGTGCCTGTGGTTTTGATAACAACAACAGCAGGAATTCTTGTGAGTTTGTATAGGAACAGAGACAGGAATTGATTGTATGTATATATATTTAGGTCAGATATCACCTGCAATTCTCTTTTGATATTTGAATTAAGCTTTAATATTTAAGTGCTGGGGCTAAGATATAATAAAACATTAAAGTTAAGAAAACAAAACTTGGATATTCATTAAAATTTCAGTTTTTTCCCAGCTATAAGACTTCTAACTATAGTTTCTGTCATTCTATCATGTGAAAGTTTTGCTCTTCTGTTTTTCTCCAAATGTAGGTTCTTCTAAAACAAGCATTGTGCTGTTTGAAAAATTCAGAACTTTGGTGCACTTCTGCCTTTTCTTTGTTTTGCATGCACAGGTGGTGGTCGGTATGTTCCGGGCTCTTCAGGATCTTCTAACACACTACCCACAGCAGATCCTTTTACAGGTGGGATGCAGTTTTGATTCATGTATCTTTCTTCACTAAATGTATGGCATCTTGCATTACATGGCTTTACATCTTGGAGATGTCATCCCATAACTGATAATTCCCTTACATGTATTTTCAATTTTGATGGATCTCCTTTTCTTTAACTTCTGATTTTTGCTTTTTCCTGGAGTAGTTGTGTAGATTTCCTCGTGAATTTTAAATAGCATATTATTAGAACTCTGTTTTCTCCAGGGGTCCTTCCTACCAGGAGAGCAGTGTAGTTAAGAACATAGGTTTTAGAGTCAGACAAACCTTGGTTCAAAATTGGGCTCTACCACTTACTTGCTGTGAGAAGTTGGCAAGTTACCTAACCTGTCTGAGCCTATTTTTTTTATCTGTGAAATTAGATAATAGGGGAACCCACCAACCAAGACACAGCATGAGTGCTATCACTGGCGAGATGCTACCAATCACGAGCAGAGAAGGAGCCATGTGAGTCCCTGATATTGGATGGAGCAGTACAATCAAGAAGTCTCCCCAGGCATATTTTGACTTAACATGGAAGGAGACATTCCACCCAGCTACCCAGGAATAGTCTTCCTAATCTAAGTTATTAATGTCCTTCTTGAAGCCCTTGAAGTGTTGGTGTATCTCTTCAAAATGAATTTATTTACCAAGGTATGCATGCCTCAGCGTCAACACTACTGGAAAAAGTTGCCAGAGTTGGACTTTAAGGCAGCTGAAGAAGTCTCTATTTTCAGAATGGCTTTTGATATCTTATATGATGCTGTTGTTGGATCTTCAGACAGAGTTCCTCGACAGTATACTCAGTTTGGGAAGAGATCATAGCCTTTAGGTATCCACTGGCCTTGCAGATTAGTACTGTGAGCTATAAAAATCACAATCTACAGTCCTAAGCCAGAGATTGGACAAACATACAATGTTAAGTCAGTGTCATGAAGTTGTGGATTGCTGTCAGTGAGCTTCCTTTTTCCTGTGAATGTTTTTGTGGCCCAGATGCAAATGGTTGTACCATGTGCATTGATAACCAGTAAATGAAAATAATTAACTATCGCACTAAATGCTGTGATGGTACAGTGGCTGTTAAGGAAGTCTTTGATAACATGTGATTTCAAATGGTAGTAAGGATCTGAAGAGTAGATAAGATGGCTTTCTCTTTATCAGCAGTTCAGAAACAGTGATGCCCTGAAACTTAATACCAAGTGAGAATCCAAATCACTTTGGCGGCCTTTTTTTCTGGAACAGAAAGAACATACCAAGCTTCAACTAATACCAGCAAAATCAAGAAAACTCCGGGGGCCATTATAACCAGAGTATATCTCACTGTTCCATAATGTCAGTAACTCAGAACATGCAGTGATTATGCAGATATGCAAGATAGCATACACAATGTCCAAGAGAATTAGGGTATCATTAGGATAATTGAATACCTTTCATATAAATATATAACAGCCTCTACCATATTGAGGTATGAAAATAAAATGGCAAAATATGTGTAAGTGTTAAGCAGAATGCCTGGCGTATATTTAAGCCATCGGTGTATGTTAGTCATTGTTGATGATGATGTTTTCCCAACTTTGTCAGTGGCACTGGGCCAAAAGATTTCCCTGTCTGGCTACAACTTAAAGTCAATCTTAATTCTTCTTTCTTCCCCATATTAATTTATGCTGTCCTTAAACTGCTAATGTTTATTAGAATGATCTGGGAAGCTTGTTTAAATTACTTATCCCAGGGTTCTACGGCCAAGAGATTCTGATTCAATAGATTAGTGAGGAGGTTAAAACTAAAACTATTCATGATCTGATCTCTCACCAAAGGATTCTAATTAAATAAATGATCTTGGTGGTAGTTTGATCTTAGATTTTTTTTTTTTTTCCAAGTCAAGAGTTTTGCTCTTGTTGCCCGGGCTGGAGTGCAATGGTGCGATCTCAGCTCACCACAACCTCTGCCTCGCATCTTTAAGCAATTCTCCTGCCTCAGACTCCCGAATAGCCAGAATTACAGGCATGCGCCACCGTGTCTGGCTAATTTTGTACTTTTAGTAGAGACGGGGTTTCTCCATGTTGGGCAGGCTGGTCTCGAACTCCTGACCTCAGGTGATCTGCCCACCTCAACCTCCCAAAGTGCTGGGTTTACAGGCGTGAGCCACCATGCCCAGCGATCTTAAAGTTCCCCAAGTGTTTCTAAAGTGGAGCCAGTTTGGAATACCCCAGGGTTATGGGTGGACTCTGGGAATCTGTGTATTGAAACTGTGATTCATTCAGGTGGTCAGAAAACCATATTTAGAAAAGTGTGAGACTGTACTTTACCTCTTAAGAGCTTAATGCCTTGGGCAAGTTATTCAGCCTTCTGCTTCTAAAATATTGTGAATTATAATGGTATCTATAGAATAGTATAATGAATATATGCATAGAAGATGATTAGCTGGCATATGGTTAAATTTCAACAAACCTATTCTGTGTTTCTCATTATTTTAATTAATCTTACTCTCTTTCTGGTTTTGCTTTTTAAATTTTGTTTGGCTTTTCTGTGTATGTTGCACCAATTATAACAACTCCTGGAGTGTAAATTGAGAGAGGCTAGAACAGTAGCTCATTTTTCTTCTTCCCATAAAGGCTGATCCAATATTCTGAGTATCTCCAAATCCTGCTGATTCTCTCTCTATACTTACTTTTTATGTTTCCTTCTTTTTATTTTCAATAGGACAGCCACAAGTATTATCTATAATAAAATGTGACTGGGCTGTTGTCATAGTATCTCTAACCTACCTGAGTCTTTTCCAATTGTCTTATGTGCTAGTTAGTCCCACCCCTTTACTTCAATAGAATAGCATTCACATTTCTTTCTGGAAACTTTTATTTCTCTCCAATCCACTTACATTTTTGTAATTTACTAAACTTCTACAATTATAATATATAAGGCATGTAATGTTTAATTTGTAGCTAACATTTGTTGGGCACTTATGACATGCCCAGGCACTGTTCTCAGCATTTTTCTGTATTAAATTTATGGCATATTTATTATGTATAGTATGACACCATTGTGAATTCTGCTTAATAATGGAAATAAGCAAAGAAGAGTTTGAACTTTATAATTTGCAGTCACCTTTGCTTACTAGGAGTACTATTGTATTGTAGGTGCTGGTCGTTATGTACCAGGTTCTACAAGTATGGGAACTACCATGGCCGGAGTTGATCCATTTACAGGTACATACTTTTTGTTTCTTTTTCCTTTTTTTAGATTTTAAAAATTCACTGGAACTTTTATTTAATGAAAAGAGTAAGAAAATTTGTGTCATTTTCTTGGTTGAGAACTTTTTGTGTAGTAAATCAAGACCAAACTTGTCTGGCTTTTCGAGTTTTCTCAGAATTGTCTCATTACTACGTATTAGAATCATCTGGGGAGCTTTCCAAACGTACTTCAGCCTTATCCCCAGAGATGCTTACTTGGTCTAATTCTGCTGTGAGTTAGGGACTTGGCAAAGGGTAGTTTTATAATCTTCCAGTGTGATTCTAATATGCATCTAGGAACGGAAACTACTGTTTTACTGTAGTAAGTCTGCTTTCCTCGCTACTATTACAAAGTCTATGTTTATTCTCATCTCTTCATTCTTACTTAATGTGTTGAGAATGTTATTCACTGGATTATACATTGGTCTCTTTAAGAAGACTCAGGAAAGAATTTGCTTCTGTGATTTAGGCCTGGAATAGCTATCATTCTTCTGAGCAACTAATTGTTTTTTAATCCTTAGTTATCTAGTCTACAGTCTGACATACCTAACTTGTTCATTGAATATGTGCTGGTATGTTTTCCTCTGTATTGGCTGCCAGTAAAACACAGAGCTAAATTTGTGGTTCATCTCTTTCAAGTTTGACAGATATCTTGGCATTTTTTTTTCTACTTAATTTTTATATTCTTCGTAATTTATATGAGAGAAATTGAGTAACATATGTGTTATTCAGCATTAAAATAAACACCCATAAACCTACCACTCAATAACTAACCTAGCCCATGTTTTTATTTTTTATTACTTTTGAGATGGGATCTTGTTTTGTTGCCTGGCCTGGGCTCAAACTCGTGGGCTCACATGATCCTCGCACCGGAGCCTCCTGAGTAGTTGGGTTTACATGCTCATGCTACCATGTCCATCACTTGGCATGTGATTTTGTAAGCTATTTTTTAATTGCATAAGTAACATTGGTTAGCAATACTGACGTATAACATAGTAACTCTAATTAAGATTATGGATTCTGGAGTGAGAATCTAAATTCAAATCTCAGCTCTACTACTTTTTATCTGCTTGACCTTGAACAATTTATTTGATGTGTCTGTGCTTTTGTTTTTCTCATTTGCAAAGTTAATTCTACTTACTAGAATTAAGAGCTTAAAATTATAAAATTTATGTAAATAACTTTTTACCAAATTAATGCTTAGTAATTGTTAGCTGTACTTGTTAACAAAAGTTAACAGTGCTCCCTCCCATTTTCCAGAAGTTAGTTTTTAACAGTATGGTGTGTATATTGGAACTTTATATACCTTAGTACAAGCTAATGTCACCTCTTGCCTAGAATAATGAAATAACTTCCAAATTGGTCTCTCCATGATCCATACTGCAGACAGTGATCATTTTATTGTTTACTCTTATGTTTCTGCACCTCCCTTGATTAAAAAACTCTTCAGTGGCTTCCCAGTGAATATTTTTCTTTTGCCTTGCCTCACATTCCTCTCTGCCTTTCCTCTGTCCCGCCATACTGACCGGTGTCAGTTTCTTAGCATGTAATACTATTTTCTACCTCCAGAGCTTTGAACTCACTGTTTTCTTTTGACATACTTATGTATTGCCCTTTGCCTTGTCATTTAGACCACAAATTATTGGCTGTTTTTCTGCCTTTTCTTTTTTACTTAATTGTATAATACAGTATTAGATAAGCTCAGTGAAACTTTTCTGAACACCCACATATGCCCTTTGCTAGATCACCTACTCTTATCTTTCATTGCATCCTGAACTTTTCCATCAGGGAACTTTTCATTATACATATTTGGATGATATTTGATTAATATTTGCATTCTTAACACAACTACTAGACTATAATGACCAAGAATGCAGGCAGCGTGTGTATAGCTCATTTTTATGTCAAGAAAAATTTATTCTTTATAAACAGAATTAATTTTATACACCAGTCTCACTGTTTCATCTTTACCTTCATCCCTTTCTATTCCTGATATACTCAGAATATTAAAATAAATCTTTTATTCATATTTTTGCACAATACCTTAAATGTACGTTAGAACAAAATAGGGTTTACATTGATTCAGATTTGAAATTTGAGATGTAAATTAGATTTAAATTATACTTAATTGAAGTCACTTTATTCATTGAATATTGATGAATTTTCATCATGTGCCAGTTCATGATCAGATACTGAGTTTCTGTTAATATAATAGAGACTTAAGATGTGAAAAAAAGTGTAAAAGACTAGGACTTGGATGGGCCTGGTGGTTCATGCCTGAAAAAAAAAAAAAAAAAAATCAGTCATGCCTCCATGATGGAGCTTTCATAAAAATCCCAAAGGTGGCTGGGCATGGTGGCTCACGCCTGTAATCTCAGTACTTTGGGAGGCCGAGGCAGGTGGATGACGAGGTCAGGAGTTCAAGACCAGCCTGGCCAATATGGTGAAACCCTGTCTCTACTAAAAATACAAAAATTAGCCAGGCGTGGTGGTACATGCCTGTAATCCCAGCTATTCTGGAGGCTAAGGCAGGAGAATTGCTTGAACCCAGGAGGCGGAGGTTGCAGTGAGCCGATATTACGCCACTGTACTCCAGCCTGGGCAACAGAGCGATACTCTGTCTCAAAAAAAAAAAAAGGCTAGGACTCCTCAACAAACCACCATGGCACACATTTACCTATGTAACAAACTTGCACGTCCTGCACATGTACCCTGAAGCTTAATAAAATAATTTTAAAAAAAAAGACTAGGGCCGGGCGAGGTGGCTCACGCCTGTAATCCCAGCACTTTGGGAGGCCGAGGCGGGCGGATCACAAGGTCAGGAGATCGAGACCACGGTGAAACCCCGTCTCTACTAAAAATACAAAAAATTAGCCGGGCGCGGTTGTGGGCGCCTGTAGTCCCAGCTACTCGGGAGGCTGAGGCAGGAGAATGGCGTGAACCCGGGAGGCGGAGCTTGCAGTGAGCCGAGATCGCACCACTGCACTCCAGCCTGGGCGACAGAGCGAGACTCCGTCTCAAAAAAAAAAAAAAAAAAAAAAGACTAGGACTCCTGTCCTTCAGGGATTTATAACTTGGGAATTTATAAAGATGATGCAGAAAAAGATTAGAGCAAACGATAATGCCTACTACATCATTTGGAATAAGCAATAAAAGACATAAGGGAGAGATCAGCATGCCTTAGAAAAGATGAGAATGGAAAGTTTCATATAATTATATGGTATTCTTTGACATTTTTTAAAATGTATAATTTAGATTGAATCTTAGGCCAGGCTTGGTGGCTCACACCTGTAATCCAAGCACTTTGGGAGGCTGAGGTGGGAGGATCGCTTGAGCCCAGAAGGTCGAGGCTGTAGTGAGCTGTAATTGCACCACTGCACCGTATCTCAGAAAGAAAAAAAAGAAGTAGAAAGTATGAGATGATCTTGTTCTACATTTAAGCTTCCATTCCCCAAACCAAAAAATATTATATCAATAAATATAAAGTAACCAAAATATTGTGGATATTTTTCCCCTTGAGGTTCCTTGTTTAGTGCATGCACTGAATAGTTGCATATCTCAATAATTGTCAAAACTAAGTCATATGGTTAGTAAAATCTCATTTTTGATCACTACTTACGGTTATCATCATCTTCTATTCTTTAAATAGGGAATAGTGCCTACCGATCAGCTGCATCTAAAACAATGAATATTTATTTCCCTAAAAAAGAGGCTGTCACATTTGACCAAGCAAACCCTACACAAATATTAGGTAAGTCTCTTTAATTAATTTTTTCACATATTCACAGACTGTTTGAGATGTCATCAAGGTTGTTTCTCTTCCCAACATGTGTCAGGAATTGGGTACTTAATATGAATAGAGATTTCTATTGCGGTATTAAACAACTATGTCCACCACAAATATACAGTTTGGTAAAGGATCCATAATACTTTCTAAGAAGCCTTACACAAATGTAAAGTAAGTAATTTATGATGACTTTAATAAAAAAAAATTAAAGGTAGAAAATGTAAATTCTACCCACCCAGGTTCTTAATGTTTTTTTAAAAAAAATTAATGAACATCAATGAGTCAAGCATTTGAAAAATAAAGATCTTATCTTTAAAAAATTAGTGGACCTCAGAAATAATACAAGTTCATTTTCTTTTTTTTTTTTTCTTTTTTTTTTTTTTTGAGACGGAGTCTCGCTCTGTCGCCCAGGCTGGAGTGCAGTGGCCGGATCTCAGCTCACTGCAAGCTCCGCCGCCCGGGTTTACGCCACTCTCCTGCCTCAGCCTTCCGAGTAGCTGGGACTACATTAGCTGGGACTACAGGCGCCCGCCACCTCGCCTGGCTGGTTTTTTTTTTGTAGTTTTTAGTAGAGACGGGGTTTCACCGTGTTAGCCAGGATGGTCTTGATTTCCTGACCTCGTGATCCGCCCTTCTCGGCCTCCCAAAGTGCTGGGATTACAGGCTTGAGCCACCGCACCCGGCCACAAGTTCATTTTCAATTGCCCATTAGAAATGAATCTGCTGGCCTGGTGCAGTGGCTCATGCCTGTAATCCCAGCATTTTGGGAGGCCAAGGTGGGCGAACTGCCCGAGGTCAGGAATTCAAGACTAGCCTGGCTAACATGGTGAAACCCTATCTCTACTAAAAATACAAAAATTTGCTGGACATGGAGGTGGGCGCCTGTAATCACAGCTGCTCTGGCACGAGAATCACTTGAACCTGGGAGGTGGCGCAGTTGCAGTGAGCCCGAGATCGTGTCACTGCACTCCAGCCTGGGCAACAGAGCAAGACTCCGTCTCAAGAAAAAAAAAAAAGAAATGAATCTGCTTTAGCCACTTTGATTGCTTTTTCTGTTTGTGTTCCTCAAAACAAAATAACAGTGTTTGTTGTTGTTGTTGTTTTGGACTAAGGGTACTGTTAGCTTGTTCGCCACAAAGATTATGATGAGAATTAATTGGGATAACATAACATAACACACTTACCAGAGTATAAGGCAGGGTCAGTATTGTAAAAATTTATAAAAATCACTCATTAATGTTTTCTTAATTGCTTTATTTTGAATAATGTAGTATATGCACACTTTTAGATGTTTTTTAAAAACTCGTGAAAATCTAACAGGTATCTTGATATTTGCATTCCTTAATAAACTTGATTTTTGTTTATTAGAATTAAAGTTGTTAATACCTGAGATTAGTGAAACAGGCCCTAGTTTCCATTTATAATTGATTTCAACGGTGTAAATTTGGATAATTTACCTTTATTATCGGAATTTGGACTTTTTTATTCTTGAGATAAAGATTTTTAAAGAAACACAGTAACTCAAAAGTCATAAAAAGGATGCTGATACTAAAGATACATGTGAAGGATTTGAAGGAAATTGTTTCATGAAATGTGAACATGGGAAGAAAGGGCAGTATGTCCATTAAATAAATTTTTAAAATAATGTGATGTCAGATATGCGTATGGAACTAAGTCATAAATTAAATGTTATCAGTAGGCATTTAACTCTTTGACTATTTCATTGACAACTGTAGAAGTTGACATAAATTGGCTAAAAAGTTGTTATAAATTTTCTCATGGAGAAACTAGGTTATTGACTTATACTTGAATATATATATTACACATATTTCTTTGAAAGTCATTCAAAATGGAGGCTGGACGTGGTGGCTCATGCCTGTAATCCCAGCAGTTTGGGAGTTCAGGGCAGGCGGGTCGCTTGAGGTCAGGAGTTGGTCACCATGGTGGTCAGCCTGGCCAACATAGTGAAACCCCATCTCTACTAAGAATGCAAAAATTAACTGGTGTGGTGGTTCATGCTGGTAGTCCCAGCTACTTGGGAGGCGGGAGCAGGAGGATCGCTTGAATCCTGATGGCAGAGGTTGCAGTGAGCCAAGATCAAGCCACTGCACTCCAGCCTGGGCAACAGAGTGAGATTCTGTCTCAAAAAAACAACAACAGAAAAAACAGGGCTGGGTGTGATGGCTCACGCCTGTAATCTCAGCACTTCGGGAGTCTGAGGAGGGTGGATCATGAGGTCAGGAGATCGAGACCATCCTGGCTAACACAGTGAAACCCTGTCTCCACTAAAAACACAAAAAATTAGCTGGGCGTGGTGGCAGGCGCCTGTAATCCCAGCTACTTGGGAAACTGAGGCAGGAGAATTGCTTGAACCCGGGAGGTGGAGCTTGCAGTGAGCCGAGATCACACCACTGCACTCCAGCCTGGGTGACTGAGCAACACTCCGTCTCAAAGAAAAAAAAAAGACAAAGCTCACAAGCCTTATCCTTACTTTATGGTTTTTGATGATTGTGATAATTGCTGAGAAACATCTTAAATCCCCATGGTGTACACTAGAGTACTTTTATTGAAAGTCTTGACATTTATATATTATCTGGCCAATTACAGTTAGGGAATTTTGAAAGTTTGGTTTTGGGTTTTAGGTAAACTGAAGGAACTTAATGGAACTGCACCTGAAGAGAAGAAGTTAACTGAGGATGACTTGATACTACTTGAGAAGATACTGTCTCTAATATGTAACAGTTCTTCAGAAAAACCCACAGTCCAGCAACTTCAGATTTTGTGGAAAGCTATTAACTGGCCTGAAGGTAAATAAACACTCTTCAAAAATATAACCAGAAAGCAAGAAATTTTATCTTCATTTCTATCAATATTACTGGTATTTGTAGATTAAATAAAAGTTAACTTGGGTAGTTCTAGTTCACTATGGAAAATCTTCACGAAAAGGGTTCACTACACTACTGGAATTGATAATCTTGTTTTCGTTACATGCCTTATGAGAATCTGAAGGTGGCCGGGCGCGGTGGCTCAAGCCTGTAATCCCAGCACTTTGGGAGGCCGAGACGGGCGGATCACGAGGTCAGGAGATCGAGACCATCCTGGTTAACACGGTGAAACCCCGTCTCTACTAAAAAATACAAAAAACTAGCCGGGCGAGGTGGCGGGCGCCTGTAGTCCCAGCTACTCGGGAGGCTGAGGCAGGAGAATGGCGTAAACCCGGGAGGCGGAGCTTGCAGTGAGCTGAGATCCGGCCACTGCACTCCAGCCTGGGTGACAGAGCGAGACTCCGTCTCAAAAAAAAAAAAAAAAAAAAAAAGAATCTGAAGGTAATATAATGATCCCCATATATGCACCAGTTTGTTTACTGTTTGAGAGCATTTGTGGATTCCCTGCCAGGCATCCAAGATACTCTTAGTGACCTGTTAACCCTAGGCTATAAACATGCACTATAAGTTTGGTGGTTTTTTTTCCCAATTATGTCAGTTAAATCTTTTTTGATTCCCAAAGAGTCCTTGCCCGTTTTTTGTTTTTGTTTTTGTTTTTTTCATGCCATTGATTTATTGCAGAAAAAGCCTTTTTTTTTTTTTTTTTCAATAAAATGTCCCATATTATGGATTTTGCTGATGTGTTCCTCCATCTCTGTATTTATTGCTAGTGGCAAAATTAGATTCTGGTTCAGTAGGAGTTTTTTTTTAGGTAAAATTCTTTATAAATGATGATGTATACTACTTTTATATTATGGAGCACTTAATGTTGGATTTTCTCACCTTTGGTGATGCTAAGATTACTTTGTGCATTCATTCAGATGGCATCTACCCAAGTCCTTGATTATAAAGCTCCCACCAACCTATAAGCATCCTATCACTTGTTAACTGGAATTCTTAAGAACTTTCTGGCTGGGCTCGGTGGCCCACGCCTGTAATCCCAGCACTTTGGGAGGCCAAGGTGGGTGGATTACCTGAGGTCAGGAGTTTGAGAGCAACCTGACCAATATGATGAAACCTCGTCTCCACTAAAAATACAAAAATTAGCCAGATGTGGCGACATGCACCTGTAATCCCAGCTACTTGGGAGGCTGAGACAGGAGAATTGCTTGAACCCGGGAGGTTGAGGTTGCAGCAAGCCAAGATCACGCCATTGCAATCCAGCCTGGGCAACAAGAGTGAAACTCTGTCTCAAAAAAAAAAGAATTTCCCGTTTAATTGTTCGGTCTTCAGAAGTTTTAAAAGCAAGGTCTGTGCCCTGTTCTTTCCATTCATTTTTGAATACTCACAGTGTGTAGGCTATTTGATAACCTGAGAGAGTTACCTTATTTTAAAGTGAATATGATCTTACAATAATTAATCTAGTTTATATAAAATTATGGAAAATTAACAAAAGTTTCAGAAATATGTGCATTTTTTAAAAGCTGACACATGATTTTTCACATTTTCTAAAATGGTTAATTTTGTAGTGGGAACATAAAATCCTTAAAAGTTGATAGTCAAAAGAAATTTTCTTTATTTTCATAAGCATTAATGACTTTTTTTTTTAATAGATATTGTCTTTCCTGCACTTGACATTCTTCGGTTGTCAATTAAACACCCCAGTGTGAATGAGAACTTCTGCAATGAAAAGGAAGGGACTCAGTTCAGCAGTCATCTTATCAATCTTCTGAACCCTAAAGGAAAGCCAGCAAACCAGCTGCTTGCTCTCAGGACTTTTTGCAATTGTTTTATTGGCCAGGCAGGACAAAAACTCATGATGTCCCAGAGGGAATCACTGATGTCCCATGCAATAGAACTGAAATCAGGGAGCAATAAGAACATTCACATTGCTCTGGCTACATTGGCCCTGAACTATTCTGTTTGTTTTCATAAAGACCATAACATTGAAGGGAAAGCTCAATGTTTGTCACTAATTAGCACAATCTTGGAAGTAGTACAAGACTTAGAAGCCACTTTTAGACTTCTTGTGGCTCTTGGAACACTTATCAGTGATGATTCAAATGCTGTACAATTAGCCAAGTCTTTAGGTGTTGATTCTCAAATAAAAAAGTATTCCTCAGTATCAGAACCAGCTAAAGTAAGTGAATGCTGTAGATTTATCCTAAATTTGCTGTAGCAGTGGGGAAGGGGGATGGATATTTTTAATTGATTAGTGTTTTTTTCCTCACATTTGACATGACTGATAACAGATGATTAAAAAAGAAAATACTGTGGATTAAGTAAAATTTTACATCTTGTAAAGTGGTGGGGAGGGGAAACAAAGAAATAAAATTTTTGCACTGCTGAACTGTGAGATTTTCCTGTGTAATTTGGGTAGGTTTTCAAGAGTATGAAAACAAATTTAAAAAGAGCTATAATCAGCAACAACACAATGACAATGACATCTTCCCCTTACCTTAGCCACTAAGGAGAAGATAAGGGCTGTTACTCATATAATTTGCTTTTATTATGTACACCAAACTGTTAATTGTTGTCCATTATCTTTTATTTAACTTCTCCATCTTCATTGCTAGGTTTTTCAAACAGCACTGATACATTTAAAGGTCTTGTTTTAGGGTAACTATTTTTAAAATTTTTAAATTATATTTATAAAATAATTTATAAATTATTCATATATTAAAACAATATAAGATAATTTCTTGATTTGTCAGTTAAAAATCCTAAAATATATTTGTTAAATGGCTTATTTTTAGATGAAGAAAAAGCCAGTTGGTAAACTATGTTAGTCATCTATCAGTTCAGACAGACGAGGTCTCAATTTAACTCCAGGCTTAGATCCAGTTTCTTTTGCCCTTCACTGTTTGAGGTAACTTCATTTTTCATTCTAGTTCTGACATTTGACTATTTATTTTTGTCATTTTCCATTATTTCAAAGGGAATTCGGAACATGTTGAATTTTATCAAGTGATTACATAAGCAAGAGTACGTCAAACTGGGTTATTTGAAAGTCTAGAACCCCTGTCATGTGAAATTACTATTTTTGAGCCCTCTATGTTGTCCAGGCAGTATGGTAGACACACTGATATTTAATCCTTAAAACCCTTTTAAATGAGGGCGAGTATTATCCCTGCTTTCAGAAGTAGACATAATAGGATGAATCATGTAAGAGAGAAAAAAAAAGTGAAGCCAAGAGGGAGTTAACTACTCAAAGTACATGCCATGCTATACTTTCTAGAGAGGAGGTCACAGATGTGTGTGAACATCCTAGCAATTAACACAAAGAAGAAACCATCACATTAATTACACAATTTATTGTGTCTGAGGTAACCCAATTTCCTGAGAGAGGCATAACTATTCTATTTTCAAAAGTGGGAAAGATCTTTTCATAAAGAAGACATTGCCAAATACAGTGAGCAACATTCTCAATATTCATGGTATAAAGAACCATGAATTTCCTGGCTTAATGCCAAATTACAGCCTTAGAAGAATAATTCTTCCCCAAATGGGCAAGAAAAGGTTCTAATTGTCTAGAATAATCTAAGTAAAAACTTCTGGAATATCAAAAGGAAATGAGTAAAATGTAAATAGAAGGGGATATGTACTTTGGTGAGTATTAAATTGCAACTTCCTGGTGTGTACCTGGACTTTAAATATTCTGTTCACTGGCTCAGTTACATAACCTATACTTTTCTTTTTGTTGATTGGGTTTAGGTGGTTATGTCAAAGTTAAATGGCAAAATTAGGAATTTAACCCAAGTCTGACTGGTTCCTTTACAATACACTGCTTTCTTGTTAATAAGTCCAGTCTAGCATTAAGTTAATAAGTACAAATAATTTATTTGCAATATTTAGGAAAAGTAGGTACTTTTGAATAATGATAAGAAATAGTCTTGGTTAAGATTATGAGTTCCCTTTTCAAAATGTAAGGAGCGGCAGAATGTAAACACTGCTTCCTATTACTGTGCAAGTTTTTTTATATCAACTTTTATTTTACTATTTAATGTTTGTTGTGGAGATTACAAAATATAGCTTAGCAAAAGGAAGCAATCTCACTTCAAGGATATGTTAAATAATATGATATTTTCTTTTTTAGTTAAACTTTCCTATGATTCTATTAATGTTTTTTCTGAATACAAAAGTAATAAACATTTACTGAGTAAAACATACACACACACACACCCCAAATAAAAATTGCCTGTAAGGCCACTATCTAGAGAAAACTATTCGTAACATCTTGTGGCATAGTGACTATGTATGTAAATGTGTTTTATTTTATTAAAAAAGCATTGTATCATACATACTCTTTGATAACCTGATTTTTAAACTTATATTTGGTACCAAGAGCTCCACATTAATAAATACAATATTCTATCATATGGATAATACCCATTTCTTACTAACTGGCACTGTTTCCAATTTTCAGCTATCAAGCAAAGATACGACAAATCTCACAAGAGTCTTACTAGTTCCCTAAGAACATTTTATACATGGAATCGGTAGATCAAGATAATGTACATTTTTTAGACTATTTACATTGCCATCTCACCTCTAGCGGTACAACTCTTGGAATTAATGTACTTCATATTGCATTTGAAACCCCATTGCCTACAAAAGAGTTAAGTTATTATTGTCTCCATTTCATAACTATTACCTTCTTTCTGGCATTAGGTTCCTTTAGATGAGTATGTTACTATTTATATGACTAGCTGAATTTATAACTAAATAGCAATGCAATGAAATTTATTATCTACCTCATAATCTTCTTAAGTGATGGAAGAAGCAAAGGTAAAAATGGATTCTTTACAGAGATAATTCTGAGGATAAGAGTGGGAGGTAGGTTCCTTAGCAGTTACCACTTTGTATGTTACGGTTATTTTATTAGGAAATGATAAAATGCATAAAAGACCATTTGTGATGTATCATCCTTCCTGAAAGTCTTAGATAAATTCCAGACTTTTAAAGTGTTATTCAATCTATTTTTAAAAAACTATTCTAATCGCTAATGCATTATTTTCTGTAGAAATTATATGCAGTATAGTTGTGATTATAAATAGTTTTGAAGACTTTAATAGCATTTTTTCATGAGTTTTCCTTCAATTTTTTAATAAAAATATTCATACATAAAAATTTAAAGAGGCTGGGTGCAGTGGCTCACACTTGTAATCCCAGCATTTTGGGAGGCTGAGGTGGAAGCATCGTTTGAACCCAGAGTTCAAGACCAGCCTGGGCAACAGAGCGAGATCGCATCTCTACAAAAAAATTAAAAATTAGCCAGACATGATGTTGCGTGTCTGTAATCCCAGCTACTCAGAAGGCTGAGGTGGGAGGATCACTTGAGCCTGGGAGGTCAGGGTTGCAGTGAGCCATGATAGTGCCACTGCACTGCAGCCTGGGTGTTGACAGAGCAAGACTTTGTCTCAAAACAAACCAAAAAATTGAAAGAAAAGTACAGTGAACATTCATGGACTTGTTAACTAGATTCCACAGTTATTAACATTTTGCCAGATTTGCTTCATCTCCATAGTTTATACTTTCTTTTTACTTAAATGCTTATCAACTGGATACTTCATTATGCATCTTATAAGAATTAGGGCATTCTTAACATAATTTGTCACCGATAATATCACACTTAAGGAAATTAGTAATTTCATAATATCTAATATCTAATCCATATTTCAAATTTCCTCATTGCTCTAAGAATGCCTTTTATAACTTCTGCTTTAAAAAGATCTAAATTCAAGGTTTGTGTATTGTATCTATTAATAGTTATTTATTAACTATTGCTTCTTTGAATTCTTAATCTAGAATAGTCTTTCATATTTTAAAACTATCATTGACTTTTTGAAATTTTTAGGGCACTCCAGCATGTGAAGCACCTCACATTTTGTGTTTGTAAAATATTTTTCTACAAGACTTTGATATTGGTTATCTATTGCTGCTTAATAAATTACTCCAAAACTTGGTGGGTTAAAATAGCACACATTATCTCAAATGTCCTGTGGTTCAGGAATCCTAACACAGCTTAGGTGGATCCTCTTGAGGCTGTAAAGTATCAGCCAAAGCTGGTGTCTCATCAAAAGGCTCCACTGAGGAAGGTTTCATTTTCAAGCTCATATCGTTGGTGTTTAGTTCTTTTGGGGTTGGACTGAGGACCTCAATTCCTAGGTAGCTGTTGGCCAGAGACTGCCCTCTCTGATTTTTGCTATATGGGCCTCCCCAGTGTGGCAAGTTGCTTCATCAAAGCCAACAAGGGGGAGTCTGCTGGCAGGACCAAAGTTGGAATCTTTATAATCTAATCACAGAAGTGACATCTCAACATCAAGGTATTGTATTGGTTGGAAGTTAATCAAGGGGAATGGATTATGCAAGGCAGTGAATACCATTGGGGAGGGATCACTGGGGGCTATCTTGGAGTCGGCCTGCACCACCTATTTCCTATAAATTGAAAGTCGTTTCCATTGAGATTAAAACTGTTTGTAGGAATACTTTACAGGTGATATGTACTTGTTATTTTGACTTGATTATATCATATTTGAGCTTCCTTAAGGGGTAAAATAGTCTTTAGAATAAGGTGGGTAATGGAAGCTGTAAACAGGAGAAAGTTGCCTAAAGCCCTTTTGTAAAGTAGATAGTCTGATGTTGGTCCTAGGCTTAAAATGAGATGTTGGGGCTTAAAACCTGACCTTGGAATTCCTGGACATGTGATAACTCAGAAAAATAAAATGTTCAAATGGCTGTGATCATCAGATTTCAAGGTATATAGCAACATTTACCACAACAGTTTGCAACGATTTAAACCAAGTAACAATGCAAAAAACAACTAGACAGCCTGCATTAATCACTTATTCTTTTCTAGTTGTATATGCATAGTTTATCCTCATTATGAGGTAGGTATTACACAGGTGAAGAAACTGAAAGAAGTCAAATCTGTGTAAGTCAGTAGTAACTAAACAATGGAGAAGATAGCAGTATTTAATCAATGATGTTGCCAAAACTGGATATCAATATGAAGAAAAATATCAATTTGTAGTAGCCTCTTTATCAAAATAGCAACTACAGTGGCTACTAGTGCCATATAAGCATGACGTGGATCAAAAGAAAGTGGTTTTAAGCCATTGAATGACATTTTTTTCCTTCCTGTGTCCTCAAAGGAACTAATACATTCAATAAATGTTCACTTATTTCTGTATTATTTAAAATTTTCAGTAGTAATAGCAATCAAAGGTGCAGTATAAAATAGTGAAGGAGCACTGACTTTGGCGTTCAGAAGTCATACATTCCAATAGCATTTCCACCACTTAGTAATGAATTAAGGCAAGTTGCTTAACCTTAGCCTTAGTTTAGTCATCTGTACAGTGGGACTTCATATGACAGATGAATAATTGAAGATTCATGTAAAAGCCTAGCAAAATGATGGCCACATAAATGTTTAGCAAGC